CACGGTTACAGCAAGGGGAGTAGTCATCGTTGTATTGCATGCAATTTTAATTGCCTACAAAATCTTAGGGCACATCACATTGTTTCTTGATATGATTAAATATCGAGGTAAAAAAACACAGAAATAGGATCCAATTGGATCGGTCATATACGATCAACGCATCGAAAAATCTGAAAGAAAGCTTACACTGCTGGAGTACTTTATTACAGGAAATACATCCACCATTCTTATTGTTTCATTGTTTAGGCTGAGAAATTCTGCCAAGGTGGACAGCTGCCCAGTCCCTGGGTCCATCACGGTCGAGGTAGCAGGTGCTGCCCACCTGGTAGTCAGACCACGTACAAAAATTGTTTTCCCGAAACCGGAAACGCTTGATTTGGAATGAATGAGGCCCCGCGAGATGTGACGGACATTGTAAAAACAAACAATTAACATAAACACATATTGCAGTTATCAGTGTTTTTCTAAACTTGTGAAGGGTGAGCAGACTATTGGCATGTTTACAATAGATTTGAAAAAAATATAATTGAGTACCCATAAGTCTTTGTTTGAAATGCCGCCATCTTTGTGCAAACGTACACGCGCGTGATTGGAAAAAACTTCGTGGTTGTTTTGAAGTAAGTCTATGAGAGTAAGGTACTGGAAATGGCAGTCTGTATAGCTGCTATAGTTTTCTTGACACATGGCAACATACTTGACAATCGAAGCTTTGGAAACAAGGATCCGGGAACTTGAGCGATCTCAACGGAAACCCAGGACAGAGAAATTAGCAGTACTCCGCCCTTGTCAGGTAGGTTTCAGATGAAATGCATTATGTTCTGCTTATCATAGCGGTCAGTTTGCATCGAATTAAACGTTTTCGGTAGGAACCTTTATCTTACAGTAACGGTGCGCTCGCATTTCGATTTCTCTCACGGTTATTAATTTGGACATTGCATTTTGGTGTGAAATCTGTTAAAAACAACATTATTGTTGATACCAACTGAACATTCCGTTAAAATATAACCATAAGACAAATATATATATGTGTTCCTGTACGATGAGTCTGATATTTATATAACTTGATTTTCTGCGGCAGCTCTTTTCGTTGCTAGGCACAACCAACACCATAACCAAATATCTATTGTTCAGTCATTTTTCTGAGTGTAATTTTGTCTCAGTATTATTCTTTTCTTGTCGGACTATTTCAATTATGTATCCAGCTATATTGGAACCGTGTACTGGAGCGGCGTTTATATAAGCCACTTGGCGTGTTCGCCTTTTCAGGTTATTGACGGAATAAAAATATATTTAAAAAAATTGTTATATGCAGCAAGGCAACAGATATAGATGAAACAAGTAGTTCATGATATTTAGGTGGAAAATATTACCAATCGACACATGTTCTTACTCCAAATGTGTGTCTCTTTTTGTTTTCGGCTATTGTGAGAAGAATCATGGAAAAGTTCGTGGAGTCCCTTGAAAATCCATTATAAGTTACTTATTTATAAGGTAAAATAAGTTACCCCAAGTTTTATTATTGCTCGGCATCATAATCAATATATATGTTGGGTTTTATAACATAAGAGACGTCATTAATGCAAACTAAAATTAATATCGCATCAACTCGTTTCTTGTTCTGAATTGGGTAAATCTAGCATTAGTAGAATTGACATAGCATACCATTATGTAGTGCATAATTGCTGTATAATCATGTCGATCATGTTAATAGAAAACTTCTCACACCCTCGCAGTAATGAATGTACCACAATTACTTATTACTTGGTTTGATACATGGTGAATATGATAATAATCAAAATAATGAATGTTTGTCGGATTGTAATAATCTATTATTGGACGAATGAAAATTAACTCATTTGCTTTTCTTAATAGAAACCTTTTGGATAATCTGGAGGAGCAAGATGGACGATCGACGTCGGCAGATTCGAGGAAAGGAAGAAAAACACAGGAAAGATGCTAAAAGAAACAAAAGAATCCGATCTGTAAGTTCCTGAAACTGGATTATATAATATCATTTGTACCGGTTTATAGACTTCCTGAGTCACTTAACTGACATGATGTGCTTCATATTATCACATCGCTATATACCTGTAATAGAATAACTTTCCTTATCTCATGTCATTACCCATCACCGTAATGTGCCATTATATAATTAGAACAAGTGCGGCTCTCAAGAATAAATGTTGGACATAACTTTCGCAATGCAAGAATTTCATTTTTCCTCCCAGAAACGCCAACAGCGCCTGAAGAATCTAGCTACTATTAACTGGACAGAGAAAAGAACACAGAAGGTGGCTGCAGTCCTAACCCCAGAATTGACATCGCCAGTGGTGTCTGGCGCTCCAATGGCAAACATGAAGAACTTGCGACACCATCCAACAATATGCTTTCCAACCACCTAAAGATCTTCCACCCTGGTCATTGAGAATATGATTCATGTTAGTTAGGGATAGGATGGAATGTCTAAATGTACATTTAATTATCTCCTGTAATCACCCTGTTTAGGTAAAAACAACTAAATTTGTTGTTTCTTAGACTAAGATTAAAATGAAATTAATGTCCCTCATATTAAAAAAATGCCAACCCCTCTATAATATTTATTTTCTCTCTCTCTCTCTCTCTCTCTCTCTCTCTCTCTCTCTCTCTCTCTCTCTCTCTCTCTCTCTCTCTCTCTCTCTCTCTCTCTCTCTCTCTCTCTCAAGTGGTTTGTGTGTTTTTAGTGTGAATCAACTGACGGGATTTTGTGACAATGTTTAATTGTAACATTGAAACATACATGATCTATGTTTATGATGAATAAACAGAAATCGACTGACATGATATGTTTATTTTGTATTTATTTATTTCTATGTCCATGTGGTGTTGATTTAACTGTCCATGTGGTGTTGAAATGTAGTTGAAATGAGTTTATTTTATATTTGAATGTATTATGAATAAAATATATGACATAATACATTCAAATATATAATACACTCATTTCAACTACAGTTAATATAGTTGAATAATCATAATTTAAGATGGACATATGGTAATCACTGAATACTAATAATTGAAACCAAATGGAGCCATACAGATTCTGATTTACTGAAACTTATGGAACATGGTTAATGTGATTAATAGAAACGAAAATCAAAGGGAAACATAATTGAACTAAGTAAATAAATGAAACCATCTGAAAGTAGAGGATAAGGGAAACCCGATGGAACCTCATAGGAATCTGCGTAACGGAAAACTCACTGGAGCCACACAGGAATCTGGGTAACGGAAACGCACTGGAACCATACAGGAATCTGGGTAACGGAAACGCACTGGAGCCTTACTGGAAACTGGGTAAAGGAAACGCACTGGAGCCTTACTGGAAACTGGGTAACGGAAACGCACTGGAGCCATACTGGAAACTGGGTAACGGAAACGCACTGGAGCCATACTGGAAACTGGGTAACGGAAACGCACTGGAGCCATACTGGAATCTGGGTAACGGAAACGCACTGGAGCCATACTGGAAACTGGGTAATTTGTAAGTTTCCTCTTTCCGGAAACTTGAAGGAAATGTAGAGAAACAGTCCGGAAACCTAATTGAAACTTAAGTTTCCATTTTGTTTCCGTTAGGTTTCCGATGTCCGGAAACCAAGTTATTTTTGCTGTGAAGGTTGTCAAAAGAATGAGTATACATGTTAAATGTTACAGAAACAAATAATGATCAAAAGTGAACTTATATGGCCATATGCATCAGTATTTATACGTATTTTAAGTGGTGGGATAGCTTAGTGGTTAAAGCATTCGCTCGTCACGCCAAACGCCCGGGTTCGATTTCCCATATGGGTACAGTGTGTGAAACCGTTTTACGCCGCTTTTAGCAATATTCCAGCAATATCACGGCGGGGGACACAAGAAATGGGCTTCGCACACTGTACCCATGTGTGGAATCAAACCAGGATCTCGGCGTGGCGAGCGAACGCTTTAACCACTAGGCTACCCTACCGCCCCTCACCTAACATGAAGACACATACACCGCTCCCCATATATATCACAAAGACAAGACAAAACACATCTGGATAATGATTGTTAAATATTGTGTCTTTGTCCACGCAATAGAAGGATGTAAATTTATACACTTCCTGGGGTAATATTGGCACATTCCTTCAGTCTAAGTAAACTTAGGCTCAATATTATTCGTTACACTGCTATACTGTCTAACAAACCCTAGTATAAGGTCGCGTCAGCTAACCTTTCAGCGACCTATGACCGTCCAATCAAACGCGAGACGGCCGAACGGATTTAACCAATCAGACAACGACTACTTGTTAGGGTTAGGCGGGACTTACAAAACGGTTTTGAGATTTTTTCTTCCCTGGTCGCTGACACTGATCTATCAACAAACGAAAATCCACATAAAACAGAGATATTTGACCTACAGTATATACGCTTAGGGGTTTCTAATGACATGGTTACTATTAGCTTATATTTCCGCAAGATGACATCCTTGAATATTGACAAAAGCTTTTTTTCTGCGACTGTTTACTCATTGCGTCCTCCATGTGTATCACTCGGAAGCGATCGTGAGGAAAACAGCACTCGGAATCGTTCGAGTTTTTGAGGCAAAGGTTCAAACGGTATGTGCAAATGTTAACTTTCGCGATTTCGTTAGCTGTGTTCTGATTGGTCAGTCCAAAAGGTTAGCTGACGCGACCTTCTACTAGGGTTTGTTAGACCCTATAGTATAACCATGGGCGGATCCAGGAATTTCGAAGAGGGTTTTTTTTGTTTTGTTTTTGTTTTGTTTTGTTTTTTTGCACCTGAAACCCCCCCTCCCCCCATTAGCTCCGCCAACGCAAAAAAATCTTCAATGTGGCCTTAAGTCATTTTCAAAGTTGGGGTCCAACCCCCTGACAACCCCCCTCTCTGGATCCGCCAATAATAATACTGGGCCTAAGTTTACTTAGACTGCACATTCCGTGTTCAGTACATACAATAATGTTTCATAACATTAACTATTTCTATGTGAACTCGTGCGATGGCACACATTCAACCAGGTCCATTGAACACCCAATCTAATGCATAAGGGTTGTCAATACGTATCCCGAATCAACGTTTTTCACTCTGACATGCTTAACAAGCAGTGTATTGCAAAGTAGACATGCTGTCTCTTGAATAAGGATGGTATCACGACTTTAACAATGTGACTCTTTGAAGTCAAGACTCGTTATTATTCCATGTTTAGGCAAAACAGTAATGTAAAAGGTTAATCAGTTCCTTGACTCAACAGGAAGGACTGGCATACAGTTTGGTTGTATTCAAGACAACAGAAAGCTAAGGCCGTGACATGTATATGTACAACAGATGCTGTGTATATCGCAGTACACAGATTCTGCTTTACAACACCTCAACAGGGCCCCTGTATCGTGACTCAAACTTAGACCCGGCCATCTTCTGGCGATAGAGCTTCTCGAACTCTTCATATTGTTCAGCTGTGAAAATCTCTTTCCACGTCCCGGCCACACCTGAAATCAGGAAGTGATGTCCTTGATACAGGTAAACAACGGTTATAACGAACTTAAAGGGACCACTTATTCTAGTTTGTTTGTTTGTTTGTTGCAATATTCCAGCTATATGGAGCCAGTCTGTAAATAATCGAGGCTGGACCAGAAAATCCAGTGATCAACATCATGCGCATCGATCTACACAATTGGGATACGATGACATGTGGGAACCAAGTCAGCGACCATCCGATCCCGTTAGTCTCCTTTTACGACAAGCATGGTTCGCTGAAGACCAATTTGAACCCGGATCTTCAAGGGTCCGTTGTAAACGCAGTACTGTACATGGACAAAATTCATTACAAAACAGGCGTATATGTCTGCATATTTACAACCGCAACCGGATGCATGGCGTATGTCCGTCAACAATCGAATCGAAGCCAATTCTTTGGCAAACAGAACGAGAAACGTCCAACGATTTCGGATATACCGGCAGCTAATTATGAGGTCTTGTCACCCAGTCCAAATGAGTCGTCCTTAAAGACACGCAATAGAGTACTTAGGCTAGCTACTCTCGAAACGTTCGTAGCCCTTCTACTAGGGTTTGTTAGACCCTATAGTATAGCCATGGGCGGATCCAGGTATTTTGAGAGGAGGGGGGTGGGTGTTAAACGCCCATTCTTAACACACTGGCTACGATCAAAGTTAAGAATTCTTAGGGCTACGAATGTTTCATGAACAAGGGCTCCGGAACATTATCTAACTAGACTGACTGACTGAGTTTGGTTTTACGCCGCGTTTAGCAATATACCAGCAACATCACGGCGGGGGACACCAGAAATGGGCTTCACACATTGTACCCATCTAACTAGACAGTGTATCGCTAGGGTGATCTTAATTATCGAATGATTACAATGTGCTTGGCCGTCTGGCGTCATAGAACTATTAACATCATAGTTACCGATCATACAACATTGCTGCAATTTAGAAACCGAAGGAAATGTCCTTTTTTCCATGTTTTTGTGTGCGTTTTTTGCAATTACACGCAAACATCGGAAAAATAATATACTTGGATTATTAGGGATTTTGTCCAAATGTTGTCATAGTAGAGACAAATGTTACATTTTGTAATGATGTCTATACAAATATAAATTGCAATGATTTCTCTAACTGCATCGAAAGTGTCACTTTCACACTGCACTTCACGGATTTGCATCACGGTGTCACGTACACACAAGGTATAACAATATGGGCAACGTATGTCACATGCACAATACCTTTCTCATAGTGTTTGCATTCGCCATTCTCCAACCATTCGTAAGGCAATTTGTCAGATTTCATCCTCTCTATGTGACACTTGTCCACAATTGCCTGAAGCAGTTCTTCCGAAGAGTTGGTGCCAAGGAACACGGAAACCTTGCGTAACTCCTCCAGAGGATTCTACAAAACGGAATTACCAAAATATATTTCATCAAAACCTTTCATATGACGTGTGAAAGTAAAGACACGATTCCTTCCGTCCCAGCTCACTCCTCCGTCCCAGCTTAGTTACCTCTGCCACAGGTGTGACGATTCGTCATCTTGCAATATCCATTCAATATAATGTACACGTGACGAGTCAGTGATGAATGGTTTAGACTAAGAAAATATCGTAACACTATTTCGATTCGCGGCATCCTTTGTTTAATAGGTTGTCCGCGTGCTGTCATCGAAGCTGATGGAGAGTAAACGATGCAGCCAGTTTGATATCTATTCTGCCATAGACCTTACTGTCGCAGTTGGGTATATATGAAACAATGTAAAACATTGTGAAGAGAGCTTTCGTTTCTAGTGTTTGATTACCCCGCCGTGATATTTAGCTGTGAATGATGGTATGTTAAGTCATCGCTGCGACGTAAAAGTGCAAATCACATGACGTCACTGAACCTAAAAGCGTCCACTCCTCACGCCGATACTTCATCTCCTATTCTTGACCCATTATGTTTACATAATTACATAACGGCAGTATAGCTTGATTCGAAAAATACAGACATCTTGTTCTACATGTTTACAAAAACCATATAGCAATTCGAAAAACAGACATCATGTATACTTGTACAAAATATACAATTCAAAACTCTCAACTTTCACATCAAACTTATGTCAATAGGGAAGAATATAAACTTTACCTTGTCAAGACTCTTTCTATGCACTGTGCCGTGAAATTATGGCCTTACTGTCTGTTGCACTAAACAACATACATTCGTTCATTCCCCAGGTATTCAGAATGCTCACCGGCTGTGGAGTTATATGATATTTGAAAATGTTTCCGTAAAATGCATTGTTAAGTCTTTAGACATTTAGGCATAACATCAATATCCAATGCAATACTTACCTTCTTCATTTCTTCATAATACCAAAAATGCACATCTAGGTTTGGATATTCTTGGAACACTCTCTCCCAGTCACGAACGTGATCAAACCAAGAGCCCCATATCACTGGAATATAAGCTCAGCAGTGAAGGGATATTTGATTTTTACATGAACAACTTCCAAGCGCTTATATGTAATTGATACATTATCTAAATTATCATCATATCTTCTCAATGACATTTTGATTAATCACTATATTACTTGCAATTGGGCCCAGTTGCACAAAGCTATCATAGTGCTAAGGTGATCGCAACTCCCTAACTTTAACAAAGGCTTACGACAGTCATAGGCTAAGATCGCTTTGTGCAACGGGGCGCTAGCATATTGTGATGTATTATTTTAATTACCTGGTATTGTCAGTATTGGATTCCTTGACATATGCATTGTAGGTAGTAAGAATCATTCAATATACTGTTAGTCCTTTTGATTATGCAAAGGGTTCATACTTCAAATAATTGTCCAGCTAACTCTATCCACAACCATTGAAGATCCGGGTTAAAATTGCTTTTCAGCAATGAATGTTGAAAGAGCCGACGAACATGACATGTGTGTTATAGTATCCCAGTTGAGTAGATCGATGCTTATGATGGCAATCACTTGATTGTCCCGTCAAGATTCAAATACTTACATACGTGCGACGTTAAACAAATCTTTATATATAGTACTAAGACCCCGTCAGTGACAGTATATACCTTGATGGCAGTTTTTAGCGTTACAACATAGGCGCTTGACTCTGATAGGTTTATAAGTATGACCTATATATATAAGATATAAGAAAGGTGTGTCAGTAAATCGAAACAAAATGGCGGACCGGCTCGGCTCGGCTGGTTTCGGTCTGACAAACGCTTCCATCGCTTTGACCGTTGAATAAACTGCACAATTTATGCTCAGTTGACCTCTGTAAAGTACCAAGCTGAGCCGCCATTTTGTTTCGATTTACTGACACACCTTTCTTATATCATATATATATAGGTCATACTTATAAACATATCAGAGCCAAGCGCCTATGCGTTACAAGCCCCTGTGATACAAACAAACTATCCGTCGACACTACTTGATAAGGTCATTTCAAAATACAGAAAGAAGAAAGAAACTTACCCTCCCCTTTCAGACAGAGCGCAGCCCAGTTTTTCCACTTCCCATCATATCCAACAACAGGCCGAGTCGATTGCAATGTGTAGAAAGACACCAGAGCATCTCGCGGATCTCTCAGCAAGTAAACCACTTTGCAGCGCTTCGTTTTCATGTCTTCCGGCAGATACCGGAAGTGAAGGTGGGTGTTTAAAACTCGCGGAGATGGCACGGCATCCAGCAAGCTGATTGGCTGATATTCCATCATGTGGTCCTCTTTTTTCTTACGAATTGTCTCTGTATTACCGTTGAGTAGCATACTGATCATTTCAAACACCCAGTGTGTACCTATGTTGTAAAATATTAGTAAATTCACTAGAACTGGCTATCGATATAGATCACAGAGATCGATAATCGTTAACTAAATATCGATCGATTATCGATAAATATCGATCGTGAACATAATTTAGAAACAGGCCATGAATAGAGTCCTAAATTTGTACATTGTGTGAGATAATTAAAACATTTTTCTATCAGAAAAGTTATTGTACGATACCATTGATAATACAATTTTCATATCGATAATCATTATTGATTTTTCCTATCAGCGATGTTTCCGATTATCAATCATTTTAGCCAGCCCTAAAATACATTAAAATATGTGAATGCATTTTGAAACTTTTTAAAACAAGTTATAAAACACGGATTTGCCACGGGTTGTCAATTTAATCGTTACCTGATCTCAACCAGTTTGCAATCACAATATCATCGTCCCTGATTCTCAATTTGGGCACTTCTTGGATCACGTCTTCGGGGAAGTCCGGAGGTATCCGATTCTCCCCGACCTGTCGCATCGTCATGCTGTATCCTTCGCTGTCTTTTATTTGCATCACCGGCATTTTGGATTAACCAAACTGAATTGAAAATTGGGTGAAACATGTTTGTTCTTGATTCACGAAATTGTACATGCAAAAAACTGTTAGAGTGTGTCAACCAAGAGGTAGTTACCTGTACATTCCAAAATTGCCAATAAAATATTTCGGTATTTTCATAAGTGTCCCGAAGTTAGCGACGCAAGACCAAGAAATTAAGGAAAGGTGAGTGAGTGAGTTTAGTTTTACGCCCGTTTTAGCAACATTTCAGCAATATCACGGCCGGGCACACCAGAAAAGGGCTTGACGCATTGTACCCATGTGGGGAATCGAGCCCTGGTCTTCGGCGTGACGAGCGAACACTTTAACCACTAGGCTACCCCACCGCCCCATTAAAGAATAGTCAAGCAAGACAACTGTAAATGTCTGGTTATGCGTGTGTGTGCGTTTGTGTGGTTGTGTGAATGCATGCGTGGCTGTGTGTCTTGTAGAAGTATGAAAAGAATGACACTGTATATGTTGCATAGGATTTGTCTGCACGGTTGAACACCTTTAATCAGACGTATTTCCCACAACACTTTAAACCCCTGCTAACTTCTTTACTTTGTACAGCATGTAAAAACGACAGCACGTGTTCAGCTAATGCACTATATCCTAATCTACCTATCTCTAACGTTAACGTTTATATTAGCATGTTTTAGGAGCAAGCATTATAATAATACAATCTCCACTATTTATATGTGATATATTTGTCCTATTTTCACGAGACACACAACAGATATAGCACCAAATTAACAGTAATCAATCTTTATTACATACCAGAGACGTGGATCGCTGCCTTGTCCTACTTGCAAGTTCATATATGCCAGCTGTCCTTGAGAGCATATGTCGTGATGACCTTGTTCCTCCTATGGCGGTGTGTATCAGGTAACCTATAGTCCGTTTGGCTCAAAAGCGGACCGATGAATTGCAATCTAACTCGAAAACTAATAAACATAACATACTCAATGAAACGCTGATCATAATCAAAACATCTTACCCACTCTGTGAAGTTTTTGCAGATTTTTTGTCCTAAAAATAATAAAGTTGCTTAACAAACTATCATTAAAATATTGACACAGTTCACTGTTTGTTACGAGGGAGGAGTGCAGAGAAAGGGACAACCAGGTGTTCGAGAAGCACGTTCACAGACAAAGTTATTTATTCATTAACCTGTGCTGTGCCGTCTCCATCCGTTCTCGAACACCTGGCTGTCCCTTTCTCTGCACTCCTCCCTCGTAACAAACAGTGAACTGTGTCAATATTTTAATGATAGATTGTTAAACAACTTTATTATTTTTAGGACAAAAATTCTGCAAAAACCTCACCGAGTGGGTATGATGTTTTAATTATGATCAGCGTTTCATTGAGTATTTTATGTTTATTAGTTTTCGAGTTAGATTGCAATTCATCGGTCCGCTTTTGAGCCAAACGGACTATACCTTATCTGGGGGCAGTCTTTCACCCCTATCATTCGCTGGTGTAAGTAGACATGTCAGCGCACAAGTAACTTCCCAAAACAGCTATATCTTTATGTACTAGCCACAAAAGGATTCTCTTTGTTAAAAGTCTTTCTAAACCTGAAAATGTATCAACAATGAAGCGTTTGTGGGTAAATATTAACAGGTGGACATTGAGATCATACGAAGTATGTCTTTAAGGTCCATGATGTTGACGATAAGTCTATAACTGGTATGCCTACCATAAACTGCTTCTCTGTGTCCCCTCCAACAGAACCAGAGCAGTTGGAGACAGATGTTTCGATATATCCGGACCTACTCTGTGGAACAGTCTGCCATTCAGCCTGAACTTTGAACTGTCAGCGCTCAAAGCAAATCCGAAGACCTACTTCTTCCGAAAGGTATACAATGTTTCCTCAATAAGACCCTCAACAAGTTTTCATTTGCCAGTTCCTAGCCCAGTACAACGCTTTTGAGTGGTTCAACCAGATCCTAGCGTTCTACAAGTAGTTTATAGACAGATAGATAGAACAGGGAGAACTGTAGCGTAACGTATCAAATGGTCATGGAATAGTCTGTTGAAATAGCCCAAGACAATCAGCGTGCTTAACGAACAAAAGTGCGTGGCCATATGCCACACATTGCCAGCAAACAGCAACGAACAATAATAAGCCAGATCACATGTTTTGTGTGCCCCCGATCAAAACTGAAACGGCAAAAAAGTCAAGTAATCAAAGTTAATGTCTAAAATAGAGAAAAAAGTACGTAGCGCATGTGACTCAAGTGGTGTTATCACCCTCGATCACTCTCTGGCGCTGTCTCGTGCTATAAAGTTTCTGAATCAGTGTTTCAGTTTCGCGTGCACATAACTGCGCGTCTCTATGAAATTGAGTTAACCAGTCATTGTGTACCAGGATGCTTCAAAAATTCTTTGTTGGGCCATTCTGTGGTTTATAGCTTCCAGCATGACACTTACCAGTCAGGGTAGTGTGGAAAATTGTATGGTGACAATCACTGGATTGTCTGCTTCATACACGATTTGTTTACAAATCATACATCATACAGCTGTAAGGCTGCTGAAACAAATATAAGCTCACATCATCGTATCTCATTTGCATAAATCGATGCTCATGATGTTGACCACTGGTTTGTCTGGTCCAGACTCGATTATTTACAAACCGCCGCCATATACCTGGAATATTGCTGAGTGCGGCGTTAAACAACAAAAAAGCGCATTTAGACTGTGACAATGTATCAAAACATTCGATCTTGGGTTTCTGGAAGATGCTAATATGTTGATCTACAATAAAACACGGTTGTGTAGAGGTTAAAGGTAAATGCTTCGAATTATCCGAAAATCCCAAAAGCTTTTAATTCGTTCTACTCAACTGTTTTGAATGGATTTGACCGCACATTTAGCAGTGTATGAAATAAGGCCCGTCCGACCGTCCGAGACGGGCTAGATTTCTGACGGTCGGTCTAAATTTACAGCTAGCTAGCCAGCCCGATGGTCTGGTAATGTTCTTAAGATACATCTGAGTAAATTCACCATATCTTTTGTCTGGGCCGGGTTAAATCCATTTGGGGCTGGTAACATTTTGAAGTTACCAGCCCTGATGTCTGGCTGGGTTTTTGGCTTATTTCATACTCTGCATTTAGGAACAATTGCAGAATCATTCATTTTACCCTGTAATGTTATTTAGATGTATTTTCTCCATAGGGTGCGTGTAATGTTAAAATAGAGCAAGCAATTGTTCATTACTACTTCCATGTTAGATGTGATTTTTTAAAATGTTTAGTAAAAATGTAAATTGTATTATCACTAACGTGGAAAATCTTCAACGTTCATTTAGGTACATATGATGACGTGAGACGGAACCCATCGCCTTCAGCCTTCAACTCAAACACTTCGACAGTAGATCGTATGTCCATGGTGGTGGATTGTGCATATAAAATGCACATTGAGATGGATTAAATATAATTTGTGATCGATAAAATATGACCCTAATAAATCTGCCGTGCCTAATTGTCTGTTGCTGTTAGTCTTACACCAAGCAGGAGTGCTTTCCACAAAGCGATTTAGCGTTAAGTGTGCGTAACTCCAGAAGTTTAACATATAGCTCGTTTGTCCTTCAATGAGGTCCGTGAATTGTAAAATCGGGAAGCGTGTAGTAATACGGTTCACGACAGTGAGCCTGTACCCAACAATATCTCCTATTTGTTACTTATATACCAGTCACTAGAAAAGTACCCGTGAAGGTCCGGGTTAGAATACTGATCTTCAGTAACCCATGCTTGTCGTAAGAGGCGACTAACGGGATCGGGTGAGTCAGGCTCGCTAACTTGGTTGACACATGTCATCGGTTCCCAGGTCGATGCTCATGCTGTTGATCACTCGATTGTCTGGTCAAGACTCGATTATTTACAGACCGTCACCATATAGCTGGAATGTTGCTGAGTGCAGCGTAAAACTAAACTCACTCACTCACTCACTCACTAGCACACCCCAACAACAGATGCTCGGAATAAATATATTTGTCATTGACAAGTCACATACTATACATGATACAGTGTTAGTGTTGGGAATTGGATAAAATCTCATAATTGATGATTGGTTCATTACAACCGATCAATCATCGAAAATAATTGGTCAGCATCATTTATCAAATTTTTCTGGTTATGTTTGTTACAGCACAAAAAACAAAGAAAAAACATGTAGTTCTTATGAGTCTTTTTGCAAATTCCACAAAATGCATGTGCAAATTTAACATCTTTAAAGGAGGACTAGTATGTTAGGAACATAAATTTCCTGGAGTCTTTAAGATAAATTCAATCCTGACTTGGAACGAGCTTGTAATGTTTATGAAATGTAACAGACAAAACCAACCTTGTGAAAAATATTGTTAATGCAAACAAGTGTTCCAGAATTGTTTGTGTTCGATTTTGAGAAAACATGATCGATTGCTTGGTCGTTTAGTCATTGCGACCAATCTTCGATTATTTCAATTAATCGGACCACCACTATACAGTGTATTATCCCTACGTAAATAACTTCACCACCAAGCTCAAATATAACCTCCGAAGCCACTGACATTTACTCAGATCCAGCAATTCTTCATCAGATACTGTCTACAACATCTGATAAGCTGCGATAAGTCAGACAAATAAACACAAAACAAGATGATAGTTTAATGGTTTTATTGTGTAGAACACAACAGTACAGAGTATCTAGTACTGCAAGAGTTAACAAAATTGAGCACCTTGTAACTAAGGTTACAAGGCATCCCCTCAAAAGAGACATAATGGATATTGTGGTAGATTCATGTATATTCGTATATAAATATACATAAACGCTGTATGTAAATACAATTTACAGCACCATTTGCATATTGCATATCATGAACCTCTCTGCAAGAGGCCTTCATCATCATCATCATCACCACCACCACCATCATCATCATACTCATATCACCATGCCAAAAAGGACATGATCATTATTATCAACAAACTTTACTATCATCTTTACTCATAATATTCTGTGGAACTGCACACTGCCATCCCATAATCTATTGCTGTCAGTATATACACTGACAAGGCAATACATCAAATAGCTCTAGTGAAGAGTTGATTGATATCACCATATTGTCCCAGGACAATTGTAAAAACATAGTCATCAGTATCATCGATACCATACTATCATCAGTCAGATCATCACCATTCTAAACAAATGTTATCCATCACCAACTGTAGTGTAAAGCACATTAGAGGCAATACAATTCTCAAAATAGCAAGGGATTGTTGTGGCACAAATATACATGTAAATAACAATTATCACAATCAAATAACAGAAAATGTTTTGATAAAATTTAAGCTATCACATTTTTTTCCAAGAATCTTTACACTGCTAATATTAATAAAACACTGTATGAAGCTGGAACATATATAGTGCAAAATTATTTCATCCATCTACAACATACCAAGTTGGAATGTAAGGCATATCAAGGCAGTACAAATATCAAAAGAGTAAAGGATTGCTCTGTCACAAATGTACATTTAAATACCAATATATATCACAAACAAATTGCACACAATGTTTTCAAAAAGTTTATGCTATCACATTTTTTTTTTAAACAACATATATACTACAAATAAAATACTGGAAACAAGCCATATATGTAAAATATTTACACATTAGGGTGAAACAATCAAAGTTTTGGGGAAAATCCAATATGCATATTCTTAGATACCTGGATAAAGTTAGGACAGTGGGTCCATGTGGAATACTTACAATACAAAGTAATAAACAAATCTGATGTTGTTCACAACTCTCATACAAGGTGATACATGTATTGAAAAAACAGTTTCAAGAAATCTGTAGACAAGAAAAGAGAATGGGACTTAGGTTGGAAATCTTACAAACCTGAATATACCAGAATGACAAAAAAAAAAAAAATATGTCAGAGTAACTGAAACTTGTCATCATGTGACCTCTGTATGACATGTGTGACATGTGTGACCTCTGTATGACATATGTGACATGTGTGACCTCTGTTCAACATCAAGTTTCTACCAATGACCCTTCATCATCGTTCAAGCAAATCGTAGAAGGTTTGAGAAGAGGGCGTGGGGATAAGTAAACCCTTCCCCACAGAACCCCTTCCTACACCTACCTACAGATTTACACTGGCAACAGTCCATTCAAAGGAGGAACTAGAGGTCTCTCATCGACCTCAGATGTGAGAACATTCCTACCAATGACCATTCATCAGCGCTCAAGCAAATTGTAGAAGGTTTGAGAAGAGGGGGGTTGAGGATTAAAAAACCCGTTCACCATAGAACCCCTTCCTACACCTACCTACAGATTTACACTGGCAACAGTCCATCCAAAGGAGGAACTTGACGTCACTCATCGACCTCAGATGTTAGAACATTTCTACCAATGACCATTCATCGTCACTCAAGCAAATCGTAGAAGGTTTGAGAAGAGGGGGGTTGAGGATTAAAAAACCCGTTCACCATAGAACCCCTTCCTACACCTACCTACAGATTTACACTGGCAACATTCCATTCAAAAAAAGGAACTTTAGGTCTCTCATCGACCTCACATGTTACAACATCGTCTTCCTGTAAGAACTCATTAACTGATCTCTTGATTTGAAGAGTTTATCATATCCAACATAAGGACTTGTCCCATAACACTGTTGGACCCAAGAATAGTGAACCAACAGAGACTAATAAGGTAGATGGTCCTACTCTAATTGGAGGTACATTGCTTCCCACCACAGACATTTCAGGTTGTTGGCCCTACTCTAACTGGAGGTACATTGCTTCCCACCACAGACATTTCAGGTTGTTGGCCCTACTCTAACTGGGGGTACATTGCTTCCCACCACAGACATTTCAGGTTGTTGGCCCTACTCTAACTGGAGGTACATTGCTTCCCACCACAGACATTTCAGGTTGTTGGCCCTACTCTAACTGGAGGTACATTGCTTCCCACCACAGACATTTCAGGTTGTTGGCCCTGGCCCTACTTGCTTCCCACCACAGACATTTCTAACTGAAGGTACATTGCTTCCCACCACAGACATTTCAGGTTGTTGGCCCTACTCTAACTGAAGGTACATTGCTTCCCACAACAGACATTTCAGGTACATTGCTGATGGCCCTACTCTTACTGGAGGTACATTGCTTCCCACCACAGACATTTCAGGTTGTTGGCCCTACTCTAACTGGAGGTACATTGCTTCCCACCACAGACATTTCAGGTTGTTGGCCCTACTCTAACTGGAGGGACATTGCTTCCCACCACAGACATTTCAGGTTGTTGGTCTCTACTCTAACTGGAACTTGGACATTTCAGGTTGTTGACATTGCTGGAGGTACATTGCCCCACCACAGACATTTCAGGTTGTTGACCCTACTCTAACTGGAGGTACATTGCTTCCCACCACAGACATTTCAGGTTGTTGACCCTACTCTGACTGGAGTACATTGCTTCCCACAGACATTTCAGGTTCCCTACTCACTTGCTTCCCACAGGACATTTCAGGTTGGTACATTGCTTCCCACCACAGACATTTCAGGTTGTTGACCCTACTCTGACTGGAGGTACATTGCTTCCCACCACAGACATTTCAGGTTGTTGGCCCTACTCTGACTGGAGGTACATTGCTTCCCACCACAGACATTTCAGGTTGTTGATGCTACTCTTACTGGAGGTACATTGCTTCCCACCACAGACATTTCGGGTTGTTGACCATTTCAGGTTGCTGTTACATTGCTCTCTTTCACCTGAGGTACATTGCTTCCCACAACAGACATTTCAGGTTGTTGACCCTACTCTAACTGGAGGTACATTGCTTCCCACCACAGACATTTCAGGTTGTTGGCCCTACTCTAACTGGAGGTACATTGCTTCCCACCACAGACATTTCAGGTTGTTGGCCCTACTCTACATTGCTTCCTGGGTTGTTGGGGAGGTACATTGCTTCCCACCACAGACATTTCAGGTTGCTGGAGTACATTGCTTCCCACCACATGGCCCTGTTGGCCCTACTCTAACTGGGGTACATTGCTTCCCACCACAGACATTTCAGGTTGTTGGCCCTACTCTAACTGGAGGTACATTGCTTCCCACCACAGACTGGATTTCCCACCACAGACATTTCAGGTTGTTGGCCCTACTCTGACTGGAGGTACATTGCTACATTTCAGCTTCCCACCACAGACATTTTCAGGTTGTTGGCCCTACTCTAACTGGACCACAGACATTTCAGGTTGTTGGCCCTACATTGCTTCCCACCACAGACATTTCAGGTTGTTGACTCTACTCCCTACTAACTGGAGGTACATTGCTTCCCACCACAGACATTTCATTTCAGGCTGCTGTTGGCCCTACTCATTGCTTCCCACACACTGGAGGTACATTTCCCAGGTTGTTGACCCTACTCTGACTGGAGGTGATACATTGCTTCCCCACCACAGTCAGGTTTCACATTGGAGGTACATTGCTTCCCACCACAGACATTTCAGGTTGTTGACCCTATTCTAACTGGAGGTACATTGCTTCCCACCACAGACATTTCAGGTTGTTGGCCCTACTCTAACTGGAGGTACATTGCTTCCCACCACAGACATTTCAGGCTGTTGGCCCTACTCTAACTGGTGGTACATTGCTTCCCAGGTTGTTGGCCCAACAGAATAACACTTTCCCAACAGAATAACACTTTCGCAGCAAGCCTCTTTCTTACTCAATAACAACTACCGTACCATCATAACCTTTATCGTCCCATCTTTGACCTGGATTTGAGTGAACATTTCTTCAATCATCTACAGCTTCTTATGTGACAGTGAGTTTGTGAACAACATCAGAAATAATGAGGGATACTATGAAATCTTAGTTACATATTATTGAATACAATTGTATTCAGTTTCATACTCTACTACAGTTATTGAATTTAAAATTCAGATATAACTTAGAAATAGACCAGGCTACAAAGCTTGACCCACACAAGACATTTATCAACTTTTGAATAATTCCTCTCTGATGCTTTAAGGTTCAACATGTGGTTATTGAAAAATATAATATATAGTTTTAAATAGAATGTACTGTGTCATATATATCCACACGCAGGTATCCTTGTATATGCATATATACTGATCAAAATATATTGAAAAAGATTCACTCAGGTCATTTAAACTGACTGAACCTTGTCAATCACATAATCAATTTGCATACTATAGCACAATTTATAACGCATTCTCATTCTGGAGGTACATTGCTTCCCAACACTGGTATTTCAGATTGTATGTTTGAACTGGATTTGTGTGAACATTTCTTCAATCATCTTCAATTTCTTGAATGATAGGGATTTTGTGAACAGCCTCAGAAATAACGAAATATACTTTAAAAATAAAAGTTACATATTCTTGAAATCAATTGTGTTTAATCTACAACAGTTATTGAATTTGAAATTCTGATGAACACTTCACATTCAGACTGTAAAGCTGGATCGAGAGAAGATCATGAATTTATCAACTTTAAAATAATTCCCCACTGAAGCTTCAGGGTCATTGAAAAATACAATTTATCATTTAAAATAATGTTCTGTGCCATGTATATCCACACACAGGGTTCTTTCAAATTCAAACTTAATTCAGTATCCAAGTTTATACATTTATATTAATCAAAATATATTGATAAAGAAGATTCACACAGGTCATTAATTGTGACTGAACATTGTCAATCCTATAAACAAATTGCATCATAAAGTTATTGCGTACTCTGATCCAAAACAATCCACCAATGAATCACATAAAAAATGCATGCAATTATAAATACCTATATCATTAAATACTATCAAAGAAATATCACAGATGAAATAGCATTGTTCCAATAAGAACAGTAAACAATATATCCATGTCAAAACAAATCAACAAATATAAAAACATTCGCAGTTCCAAATCGTTGAAGAGTTCATAGCCAAGTCCGTTAGGGAAATCCATCAGTAAACATATCTAAGATTTCTTACTTTCCATCAGTACCCTTCTTGGAGGATTTCTTCTTCAAGAAGGAGTGTTTGCCTGTCAACTTAACTGTGGTGATCAGCTGTGTAGGAAAGAAGCCATATTTCTTCTTCTTCATCAGCTTCCCCTTCTTAATGTATCCATATGCTCGGACATCAGGAGCAGATTCATGGTCACTGATGTAAATCTTTTGTCCTGCAAAATTCAAAACAAGGAAAATGAAATTATCTACCATACTTGTAGTTCATGTTATATCCCTCAGGAGCAGATTCTTCATCAATGATGTACAATTCAAAACAAGGAAATATATAGCAATGGGACTTCGCACCACACTAGAAATCATGTACAATACTTGTAGATTAAATGGTCATTATTAGCAGATTCCTCATCACTGATGTCATCCTGTTTTGTTGAAGATGAAAATGATGCTTCAAATATCAATCTTCACTGGCTCACCACTTACGTTACTCATTGAACATTCTCTCATTCTCCTTAATGAAATGAACATGTGTAACACAGTCAGATGTAATTACGGTAATGAATAATGTTATGTCTATCAACTTACCTGCTTTGAATGTCAGTTCATCCTCTGAGCGAGCAGTGAAGTCCTTCAGAGCATACACTTTGACCTTCTTGCCTGCTGCTGACTTCAAGATGCTCTTGGGGTCTGAAGATTGGGTCATTGGAAGTGATGGACTCATTGTCTGGGTGTCAACATCAGAGTCGGAGTCCGCTGAAAAAGGAAGCAATACCTTTCAGCCTGATGGTGCTTATGAACTTGTTCAGGTTTGGTAAACTTCAATTTCAATATATAACTAGAAACAAACTCAACATCATTCACAAATTAGAAGTCCTAAGTCATATTAAACAAGTCCACATGTTAAACAGTCCTGCAAGATGTTGAAGGGAACATGTTGTCCCTCAGGAATTGGACAACGAAGCATTATGTTCAGTGAGATTAAACACTAACTTACTCAAGGCCTCCTGATAAAACAAGAAAGTATACTTACAGAGGCCCTTGAAATTTTCCACTATGGTCTCCTTGATGACGGGAGCTCTATATGTTATTGTCTCCATCACAGCGTTGGGAATCTCAACATCAGGTGGTTGGGATGCAGTCACCAGCCTCGGGGTAGTGACAGTTATGGGACTGGAATGCTTCCATGAGTCTGAAGAAATATACATTCCATTCAGACTATGGATAAAAACCCTCTTGTTGAAAATCAAATGTCTCCAAGTACCTTGGGATTGCAATGCAAAGTGAAAATACTGATCACCAAGTTGGTTTCTTCTCCTTAAATCGAACCCTGTCATGTACAAGGACACAAATAATCCTGTCGCCTTTACCGATAGTACTCACCCTCATCTGAATCTACCCTGGTCTGTACAAACACAGTTGTGTTGTCTCTGGCTGGCAGGATTTGACTGTAAAACACATACATCACCAACTCAGTAACAGAACAAATGACAGAGTGCTGATGCCTTTCACATTTTCTACAACAGCAATTCCTTAATTTCTAACAGTATTTTCAGAGGTTCCCTGGACACGTATACCCCTTGAACAAGGCAGAGCAGCATTTATTCTGAATGAATGTTCTCACGGATGACTGAAAGTTTACACCAATAACTGAATGTTTATACAAAAGACTGAATGTTTACTGCCAAAGATTCACAACTATTGCCAGACATCAGATGGGGCTCAGATCATCAATAAAGATACCCAAAGATGACTTACACAACATCTGACACCATGGACTTTCTTGATGTGGCCCACTTCTTTGATGATGCCATGTCGGATTTCTCCTCTGATGTCCTACTTGCCTTTTGTTCGTTGACTTCTGATGGGTGAAGCTGTATCGATACAACACAGGTTTACAACACTTACTGGGGATTATCATCATACATTGCAATATTGACATGTTGCTGAATATGTACTATCACTGCTGTATTGATACAATACAGGTTTACAACACTTGCTGGGGATTATCATCATACATCACAATATTGACATGTCGCTGAATATTTACTATCACTGCTGTATCGATACAATACAGGTTTACAACACTTACTGGGGATTATCATCATACATGTCGCTGAATATTTAATATCACTGCTGTATCGAAACAAATTCAAACATTGTGTTACGGAACCAATAGTTCGATCAATGTTGAACACTTTCAATGACCTGCTTAACTCACCTCTTCCTGTGGAAACTTATGCTCATACACGTAGAACTGGTTGAAGACAGCAATTTCTCTCTCGATGTCCAACTTTTCAAGTTCAGAAATACCTTCTTCAAATATTGCCTTCAGTTTCTCTTTCCTGAAGTAAGGAATATGAATATTACTTACAGGATACCTTAACATACTCAGAGTTGGTAAAGGGGTGGCCATTTGATATTCTGGTAGGGGTAGCTTCCATTGAAATATCCCATCCACCCGAACACCACATGGTCTGTCCCTAAATATTAACAGCGCCTTAACAGTTGATACAGACTGGAAACGCAGTAACAGATTCCAAGATTTGTTAAGGTCAGTTGACAGTTTTCAGTTTTAAAAAAATACAGGACTATTATAAACTGCAAAAGAGTCATGTCAGGAGAGTCAATCAAACAATAATAGCATGAAAATAAGTGCTAGTATTTGCTCAGATCCCTGGGGGCAGAGTGATCACTATAGCAGCAGCAGCATATAGAACTCTATTAGGTGTCCTGAAAGTAAGGGACAATCCTAGGATTTTAGGTGGCTGTCCTTGCAACTATTAAAGCCAGTTATAATTAATGTCCTAGGTAAAGAAGCATCCATCCATATTTAAAGCCTCACCTTTGAAACTCTACATTTTTGTTGCTCTTCAACATCAAACCCAAAACGTCCTTTAGGTTTTCAAGACGAGCCATTTCAAAGGCGTCAGAATCATTCTGGAATTTTTTCATTTCCTGAAAAACAAATATCACTCATGATTCTAAACATTCTCAAAAACAAAATACACTATAAGACTAAGTCCTTTTCCATTCTGTCCATAGAGCATCTGTAAGAAGTCCATCTGCTTGTGTCTTTAACAGTCTTGCCACAAATACATGGGCTACTCACTATTGACTTCATGAGACATATCCACACTCTACATTTCAAATATTAAAAGCACATTGATAAATGCAGCTGAGGTTATCTCCCTTTGATTCAATCAAGCATGGAAGCCAAACATTATGACTGATGCACAGACATTTCTCACATGAACTAAGACAAAGCAATTTAACTGTTTCCAAGCAACAAGAGAAACTATCTGTTTTTCATCTGTGTCCCTACCTCAATGAAAGTCATTCGTGTGGATTTTTCCTCTCTGAGCTTGTCTCTGTAGGTTGTCTTGGCCCCTGCAGCTTCAGCCTCTAGTTTCTGCCAGTGCCCCAAGAGAGCCTGGAACTTGGTGGGATTGTCCTCCCTCTCTCTGTAGGCTTCATCCAGCTGTGGCTTTGAAGTCATCTGCCTTGTCCTTTGTCTGGTAGAACTCCTGGAATAGCATGGAGGAATAAACCCACTGACAGGCTTGTGTTGTTGTCATGGCCTGTACTGACAGACCACAACACAACATTGTCATTCATAATCAGTTGAAATCGATTCCATTGGGTTCAAAGGCAAAATGAGTGTGAAAATTAATGAATATATAAATATTAATAAGTAATGACCCTGGAAACAGAAAGCATGTCCATCTCTTCTAGCTACACCTGCCTCAGGTTTGAAAGGTGAATGTTACCCTTCTTAAAGAGAGTCATCAAGTTGCACCAAAAGACTGGAGGCCAAAAAGTATCACATGACTTAATTACACAGCAATGGAATTGCCTTACTGTACAGGTTCAACATTGAATCTAACGGCATAACAAGCAACTTATTCTAAAAACAAGGTCCGTTTGCTGAAACTGATGCTGATGCTGTCTGTTTATAACCACTCACATCTTTCAGCTGGTCAATCTGCTTCTCCAGCTTAATCTGTCTTTTCCTTGCCCTCACATACATTGAGTGTATGGCCTCCTTTGAAGTATTGACATTTGCTGAGTGGATGTACCTGAAACCAAGATTATAAACAAATTAACAAATTCATTGCAAGATCATGAAATGGAAACTATAACGATTCTCCTGGTAAGTTCATTCACAATACCTTACACGAGCCAACTGACAAAAACCAATTGACCTTTTTCAAATGCCACTAAAGACTGAAAGGGATCTTTTTTCTGCTACTGTGCTTAACTCAACAGCACAAATGGTATTCAGAGTGAATGCTGTTCTATGCCAGTCAACAAAATCCAGTTGTATGACAGAAGAATATAAATTATGAAGTACTGGCTCCAAGACAAACTGTGACTGGAGTACAACCAAAGATCAATGACACAAAATCCGTTGTCACACATATATATCAGATATATAGCAGCAATGTGATTTATACTTCAGTCAGCTATTGTCATAAGCACTGTTTAGTAGCCATGCTTTGAAAGAGTATCATCTTAATGCTCACTCTCTCTTAAGTCAGTGAGTATGTAAATATATTTCATCTGACTCAGTACTTACTGATGAAGGAGATCAATTGGGCCTCTTGGAGCATACATGGCTTTAAGGCATTTAGCATGCAGATCCTCCTTCTGCCTTACAGTTTCCATCCAGATGTTCATGACAGTTTTCACCTGGTCATATGCTAAGTTGCTACCTGTATTTACACAGAAACATACATATATAGGCTCATATGAGAGTGTTCCTCTGGTTGTTAACTATTGCTGCATCTGAATGAGACTTATGGTCAAAACCATAAACTCATTAGAGACAGATTTCACTTCATAAGTCAACAGTCCACATGTATGTACACATAAACAAACATATATAGGCTTATATGAGAGCATTCCTCTGGCTATTAACTAATGCTGCATCAGAATGAGACTTATGGTCAAACCATAAACTCATTACAGACAGATTTCACTTTATATGTCAAGAATCCACATGTATGTACACATAAATAATTACACAGATTCTCAAGATGGCATACACCTGGTTACAAGTCAGTGTGCTATGTAAATGGGACTGGTATTCTTAGGGCTTTGTTTTCATGTCATACCTGTTATAGGACATGACGCAAAGATATGACATTTTTGTCTGTACAAACTTACCAATTTGGGTCATCACACTATCCACCCATTTCGTTTGGAAGTCCTTGTATATTTTGCAGATTCTTCTCTCCAGTTTAGCACTGTCTGTGAGCAGGTTAAGAAGTGTTATCACTGAACTGAAAAAGAAAAATTGAAACATGAAATAGTAGAACCCATACCCAGCATTGGAAATTACTTCAAACATCCTTTGATTCAAAGACTGTATAATGATGAAAATCAAATGCTTAAAGTTAAAAGTTGTATGGTACCCTTGGTTTAAAACTATTACAGCAAACCTAAAACACTTAAGGGAAGTACAAATGTATGCTATAATACAATCACATCAGGTTCTTCTTCAGACAAGACTTTCAACATTTGGTCTACCACAGCCATGCAGGGATGAAGCCCAACTGTCAAGAAAAGGAAATGCTGGTAGGCATGTTAGATCTCCTGGACCTTTGGTACTTTTTTATCCTCCTACCAGCTGCTCACATTTCAGCTTGTTGACAACTTGGCCACACAATTGTTTTTGTTTGTTTGTTGGTTGTTGTTTTGGTTTGTTTGTTTTTGTTGTTGTTGTCAACTACACTACACGTAATTGCTTTGTGTTGTTGTTTTTTATCTTTAACTGTATGTTTGTTTGTTTACCTAAGGCAATGTAAAGTTTATTGAAATGATACAAACACAACTTGGCTACGCAATTGTGTTTTGTTTGTTGGTTGTTGTTTTAGTTTGTTTGTTTTTGTTGTTCTGTCAGCTAAACTACACGTTGTTCTGTGTGTTTTTGTTTTTTATCTTTAAATGTATTTTTGTTTGTTTACCTAAGACGATATAAACGTTTTTTAGATGACACAAACAGCGTTTTGACAACTAGGCTACGCAATTGTTTTTTGTTTGTTGGTAGTTGTTTTAGTTTGTTTGTTTTTGTTGTTGTGTCAGCTACACTACACATTGTTCTGTGTGCTTTTTACCTTAAAATGTATGACTGTTTGGGTTGCCTAAGATGGCATAAACTGTTTTGAAATGACACACATAAGCGAAAAAAATAATAAGTTCTGAAACACTGCTTACGCCAAGAACCAGAAGAAATCATTTCAATTCATGCACGTGATATTTTATGGGCGCCTCTTTAAATTAAACGTCGATGTACAGCTTCAGTTATCATAAGTGTTATTGCCAAGACGGTGCTTTAATAATTTAAAAATAACCTTTCGAAGAGACAGTATGGTTTCTTAACAAATAAACAATGGTCACACAGTGGCTAACCTTTGCACAAGAACCTGATGTTTCGAGTGCGAATTGAGCAACAATACATCAATGTACATGTTTTCATCTCAACTCACACTGGAAACTTCCGATTCCTGTCGTCGTTGTTAGCTGAAAGCTGTGCAGAAGTCATCGTTCACATTGTAAACATCTAAACGGATTGAAACATAAAAAATATCCTTATACTCACGCAGATCCACGTGAAAATCGTTTAAGTGCAGCTGGTGTCGACGCCTGACACCATTCCGGTGCTTCTAAGTGTGGATCTACGTCTGCCATGTTTGATTTTTCCGCCAGCGTGACTATTTTGATCCTTCCATGAGCGCCCTTTGGGGACAGAATGGCGTCGCTAGGGAACGCCACTAGCGATACGCATTTTGATTGGAATAGCTTATACTATCCCAGGAGACTTTGCGGTATAGTGGGAACGACTGTGTTTTGGTGTGAATGGCAAGAGAGGTGAGCCAGAAGTCGAGATACGTTTGAAGTAACATTGTTCTGCTTGTTCAAATATTGAATTTCAATACGTGTATTTGTATTTGAAGACAGGAAAACGATCTAGGGGAGATAATTCCTTTGGCGTTTTAAGATGATGATAATGTTGCGATGAGAGTTACCTCCCTTAGAGCAGAATGCAAGGTGGCGTCGACCAAAGACGCTTGTCGTGAATCGTACTGTGGTGAAAATTACGCCCTGATACGTACCCGTGGCACAAATGTCACTTATGGTGGAAATTTTGTTACCGTTACACAGGTACAGAAACGCTGAATAAAATGCATTTCAATGCCTTAATCACACTGAATTCAAATCTGTATTTTCAGTTGGAACAGAACGATTCTGATGCTTTGTACAGGTCCATATTCTATTAAGGAAAACCTTGTTGAACTTAAGAAGAAAGTGTATCATCTCGTCCACTTAAGCATGACTATCTGAGAAAGTTGAGCCAATGATCCTACGCCTCCTGCTGTTGATGGCATTGTTGAAGCAGCTCTACTTGATGTCTGCTGAAATCCAAAGTCAAGATTCTTCCAAACTTGGCAAAAAACAACCAAATTTATTCCATGGAGAGAATTCTTTGAGAAACTGTGGTATTTTGGTGTAACGTGGTTAGGATACGAACATTTCTGGGTTCCAATAATTTCAACCCACCATGTTAAAAACTGGTTGAAGTGACACCTTACCATAGCAAGAGTCATAGACACCGGACACCTATCTTATCTTATCTTATTTTGGAGATAAACATCATGTGCTTCAAATACTCAATAACACTCGGAAATTGGCAACACATTATGTTTATCGACATTGTAAACACAAATGTAAACCAAAAGGTCCAAACGCGTTTTTGTGTCTGTACTCATAGACATCGAGTAGTGAAGTGTCATCAGCTGCCCGTTTCGTCTGGTTGCCATGGAAGCATCTAGAACTGATCATTTGTAACTTCATTCTGACGTCCCAATATGTGTATTAAGTTGTTTGTTTCAAGTTGTAGTTTAATACCGTTCAACATTAGTCATAACTAATCATGACGTCTTTATTGATGGTGTGCTGATAAGTGAAAAATTTCAAATTGCTTAGTACAAGTAGCACCATGTACAGCTTCTGAGTGTAGGTGTATCAGTGTATGGTTAAGTGCTGGTTTGTTATTGACTATTAAGTCCTGCATCACTTCTTTCATCCTTCCCTGTCCTGCTTTCAACCCACATCGTGCCTACACCTTGTGGTGACACGAAAACTTTAACCCAACGTTCTCATTTCCCCTTAGGTGAGTGAGTTCACATCTCTGATTATCTGATCTGATTAATAATTTTTACCAATTGGAAATATTTCATAAATTTCTAATCTCATTCATAGTGTAAAAAAGTATTGCAGATTACATGTATATAACAATTATTACACTTATCACAGATTGACTGATATCACCTTTCAAAAGAATAGTTACAAGGATAAATTTTGTCTGTAATTATACTAATTAATTCGAAATAAATTAAGACTTAATTATTGAGGGTTTAGTATATTTTCTTATGCTGGTTAGGTAATAAGTGGCTCTGTTTTGTCATAAGCTTTAAATTGATATGTCACAACCTGAATATCTTTTAACAGTACTATATCCAACTTTTTGAAAATGTCTGTGAATTACTTACTTAATTTGAGTCAAATTATAATATTTTTTCCTCGATGAAGACTTCTACTATGGTGTTCACTGATGTTGTCTGAGTACAAAACAGCTGAATGTATTTCTTATGCAATTTTGGGGGTCAAACTCTAACTCTCCTGGCCTATATTGGTTTAACCAAAGCGGTAATAGTCTGAGAACTGCATCAACCCTTTCATCCTTCCCTGTCCTGCTTTCAACACACATCATGCCAAAACCTTGTGGTGATACTAAAACTTAAACCCAACGTCCTCTTTACCCCTTAGGTGAGCGAGGGATTTTTACGCCGCTTTAAGCAATATTTCAGCAACATCATGGAGGGGACTCCAGAAACTGGCTTCACACATTGTACCCATATGGGGAATGGAATCCGGATCTTTAGCGTGATGAGCGGACACTTTAACCATTAAGGCTTACCCTCTGACTCTCTTCAAGTCTGTATTCTGACTAAGGGGTGGAGGAAGGGTGAGGTGAGGTGAAATTGGGTTTAACGTCGCGCTGGAGAATATTTCGCTCATATGACGACGTGCATGCGTGTGTATGTGTATGTGCGGCTGCTTGTACTAGCCCAGACTGAAGCTGGTTTTATAGTGCTAGCCCACTGAGATACCATGCCGCAGTAAAGCATGAATACCCCACTCAGACACATTATACTGACTCCAAGCCGACCAGACCTTGTTGTACCCATTAAAGCCGAGTGCCAGGCAGGGACCAACAAGTACCATATTTTAACGTCTTTTGGTATGACGCGGTCGGGGATCAAACCCGCGACCTTCCGCTCTCCGGGCGGACGCTCTAACCACTACACCACGGAGGCGGCCGATGGAGGAAGGGAGAATGCATAGCACAGCACAGACAATCCAGTGATTGACATTATGAGCATCAATCTACCAAACTGTAATCAGCATAAGCTCTTATCCTGACCCATTTCCAACAGGAGGTGACTGAGGACCTGTACTCCCATAGAGAATCACCAAAGAATAGGTCTACTGTCCACATAACCTTTAAGGCTGGCTTGAAAATGGATTCTTAAAATTGGCATACAACTGAATACCCTTTGTCAGAGCTGGTTTCTTTCCAAAAGCGCCTTTAAGCAGACTTTCAAGGGCTAGACACAGACACTAGATACATAACTAATATAAAATGTTCATTATAATATACTGACACACTATGAACACTCATAATCGAATTTCACTTGAAAAGGAGTGAGTTTAGTTTTATGCCGCACTTTGCAATATTTCAGCTATATGGCAGAGGTCTGTAAATAATTGAGTCTGGACCAGAAAATCCAGTGATCAACAGCATGAGCATCGATCTACGCAATTGGGAACCGATGACATGTGTCAACCAAGTCAGTGAGCCTGACCACCCGATTCCGTGTCGCCTCTTACGACAAGCATGGGTTACTAAAGATCAATATTCTAACCCGGACCTCCACGGGTCTTAGGTGTTTAAGAGGTCGCCTTTTTCGACATGCCTGCCCTCCTTGGGACTCGGGTTTGTGTGAATAGGGGACACATGCCAAACTGGAGGTTTAAGTTGTTTATAAAATGTCAGTTTTGCGTTAACAGAACTTAAATTTTCGTAAGGAGCGGGGAATTCCTGGACATCTTCTGGGTTCCGATCCACCAAGTGTTCGTAAAGTTACGACCTGTATGATTTACCATTATCTTACGAATGTCGTAGCGCTACACTTAATACAAGAAGACAGCAATCTTGGCAGTCAAACTCAAAACACATTGCATGAGATTCAAACCCCTATAGCGACATCGTTGATGATGATGATGCTGGTGGTGGGGTTGGTTGTGATGGCGATGTTGATTTGAAGATTTTACGAGCGCTTTCCGACATGATGCATATTTTGTGAAAATACAGGTGTAAAAACCTTGGAGTCAACTTTGTGTGCAGACTCTTTCAGTGTTGTCACAACCCCTAGTGTACAGTACACAACCCTGTGCACTTAAAAGGAAATGACCACATTTTGGCCACATGACTATGTGCAAACACTTAGTTGTGGGTACAGCAACGTGCAGTAAATTAGGACAAAGTACTGTGACTATGTGTCCCAGTCCACCCAGCTGTGAATGGGTACCTCGTAAGGATGGGAAAGCCACAATAACTTGGTGTGCCTAGTGGCTGCAAGAGTTGTATGATCCCCAGGGAGTTGAGATTGATAATACGATGTGCCGTTGAGATTGACATCCACTGAACGAGGGAAAAGCGCCTTGAGCATGTACTAGTTGTGTGGATATGTGCGCTATATGAATATCTTATGCTAATGCTAAATGTTACAAAAAAGGGGTTATGCATCTAAAGTGTGTTGTATACAAAAGGAAAGGGACTGGGATTTGCAAGCATGTATTCAGCGGATTCTGGCTGAACAAAGGGACGCAACTTCGAACATCAAATTCTGCACCTGAAAGGATTCGGTGCTCAGTCCTACAAAAAGGGAAGGTCCACCATACCAAATAGTTAAAGAAAACAAACAAGCAACACAGTAAAGGATCATCCCTTTATTAGCTTCATGAGCACTTCCTGACATTACCACTCCGCCATTTCACAAAGCGTCACACTCTCTCGCGGACACGGAGCGCTACCTATGACAAAGCCACAGAGACAACACAGAACACTGAGAACAACATAGGAAGTACAGACAGTGAAGGTACTGCTTACTGAAGACCCAGGCAGGTACTCCGCTACATCACCATTATCAACCATATCCTGAGATGCCAACCCTATTTGGGGCCTAAGTGTAATACTAGAGGTCAAAAAGTGTAATTTGGACCTAAAAAGTGTAATAGTTGTCTGCCGATCGCTTCAACATGGTACACGTTATCACGAAAGGAAGATTCTAGACAGAAACACATGTGACCAATCATTATGAATCTCCATACATCGAAAATTGTTGGTCATGTGACTCAACATACTTTAATTCCTTGCAAGTTAATTGGAATGAGTGCGATGCCAAGAGTAAGCGATTCCTATCGGTGCAAGGCCATTTCTGCACCCCTGTACCTGTGCATTACAAAACACTTCCCTGAGTTTCCAAAAACGAGTAGAAAAGCGTAATTTTCGCAGATTAAGTGTAATGGCGTAATTTAATGGTCAAAATCGTAATAATTACGCCTAAAGCCTAAGGGTTGGCATCTCTGCATATCCTGCCGCTACGTTGCTAGGGTTACTGGCCCAACCTCAACACAAAGCAATACAGATACAAGATCCTGCCGCTACGTTGCTAGGGTTACTGGCCCAACCTCAACACAAAGCAATACAGATACAAGATCCTTCCGTTACGTTGCTAGGGTTACTGGCCCAACCTCAACACAAAGCAATACAGATACAAGATCCTTCCGTTACGTTGCTAGGGTTACTGGCCCAACCTCAACACAAAGCAATACAGATACAAGATCCTTCCGTTACGTTGCTAGGGTTACTGGCCCAACCTCAACACAAAGCAATACAGATACAAGATCCTGCCGTTACGTTGCTAGGGTTACTGGCCCAACCTCAACACAAAGCAATACAGATACAAGATCCTTCCGTTACGTTGCTAGGGTTACTGGCCCAACCTCAACACAAAGCAATACAGATACAAGATCCTGCCGTTACGTTGCTAGGGTTACTGGCCCAACCTCAACACAAAGCAATACAGATACAAGATCCTGCCGTTACGTTGCTAGGGTTACTGGCCCAACCTCAACACAAAGCAATACAGATACAAGATCCTTCCGTTACGTTGCTAGGGTTACTGGCCCAACCTCAACACAAAGCAATACAGATACAAGATCCTGCCGTTACGTTGCTAGGGTTACTGGCCCAACCTCAACACAAAGCAATACAGATACAAGATCCTTCCGTTACGTTGCTAGGGTTACTGGCCCAACCTCAACACAAAGCAATACAGATACAAGATCCTTCCGTTACGTTGCTAGGGTTACTGGCCCAACCTCAACACAAAGCAATACAGATACAAGATCCAGCCATTACCTTGCTACGGTTGCTGGTCCGCTGGTCAGCAGGGGAGATAACCAAAAGGTTATGATAAAGAATGAACTAATTCAGATCACTAATAAACAAAATGGGTTGACTTTAGGTTCGTTGATAGTGTTTCGATACAGCAACTACAGGATTGTATTAGATGCTGGACGCTTACCCAACTGCATGAGACCAGCTTCAAGTAGATGTCATGGGTTACCACAAAATACTCCTAAAACCACAAAATCACCAATGTGACTGAGTCTGTGAGTATGATTTCACACCGCTTTTAGCAATATACCAGCAACAAACAGCTGGGCCACCAGAGATGGGCTTCACACATTGTACACATGTGGGGAATCAAACCCGGGTCTTCTGCATCACAAGCAAACGCATTAACCATTAGGCTACCCTACCACCCCCAAAATCACCAAATGATAAAGAAACCATATTACATTGGTAGTCTGAAAAGAATAAAACGAAGACATACATCTAAGATCGGTTCTCTACTGATACACTAGGTTAAGTATTATTCAGAAATGTTACGGTAGGAACTGGACTGGTGAGATTCACATATTGTCCTGGAACATAAGATGGGACTTCAGCTCTGTAGCAGCCTACGTTGTCCTATGTCTTCTGAAGTGATCTCAAGAGGATTGATGTCTTAGAGTTTCATGACAACATGAAACTGTGATCAGAACCATCATGGAAGCAGTACCTTCACTGTTTCACAGCAAATCATTACAGTGCTCAAAGTATGTTAGGGACACAATACACAGAACCAAGTTCTAATATATTTCTTTACTCTCTGATATTTAAATATATTCTATACTCTAAATGCCAAGACTGAGCTACAGATTACAGGCACAACAAAAACATGAAACACAAAGTGAGGGACAAGCAAGCGCAGTAGTACAAAACAAAACCCAGTGCTATCACGCCAGTGGCTTCTTGAAGTCAAAACAGACATTAGAAATGACAAGTGTTTCATGCACATGATCTTACATTATGCTTAGATAATTTAAAACAATAGCAAAGCCAACCCTTAACATGATTAACTGTCATGGATCAGAAAAAATATCTTTACATTAAAAAGCATGTTAATCAGCAAAGCATTAGTGACGATTACATAGACATTGTCCTTTGAGGAGAGAACGAGCTCCATGCTCTTATCGAGAATAAACATGGTGAAGTTGTGCCAGGGTGCAGTTAATCCAAGAATAGGATCCAAGCAGTGTCAGAGAACACAAGTCTTAAGAATGGATCTAACTCTTGAGAATAGATCTCATTTGTGATCATGGTTTTCATCAACTTTAGTGTGGAATGTTTCTATTCTCTGAGTTTTCAAAAGTATCCCAAATGTACTTAAAAGTCTGAAAGTCCAGTAAAATGTTAATTTTTCTTTTTGTTGGATTGACTCTTAAATGACCAACAAGGTCCTGATGACTTATCTCTGATGATGTGGAATACATTAATTAAGCATTAAGGTAATTAGGCAGGCTATCTAGCACACTGTCAAATAATCTAATTCCTTCAGAGATAACTGCTGGGTAATTTTAGGAGCCAAAAGACTCAGATGCCATTGTTCAACATCCACAACAATATTCTCATAGCTGACTTTAGTCAACAAGTTTTGTGTACTAAATTGATGTTTATAATCCATACTGCTTAACATTAGCCAAGGATAAACACTGTTGGTGGCCAAGATTCAGTTGCAAAACATAGTAGTATCATTGGGGGCTAATGAGCTAATATGGCTTTATGCTGCTTTAACAATATTCCAGCAATATCACAGCAGGGGAACACCAGAAATAAGTTTCTCAGATTGTACCCTTGTGGGGAATCAAACCTGGGTGTTCAGCATGATGAGCCAATGCTTTAACCACCGGACTATCCCACTGACCCATGGGGGGGTGCTAATGATAGATCTGGATCCAGACTGGAAACTTTCTCTTTAACATGGACTCAGTAATCTTAGAAATCACTTAGGTTCTTTTTGTAAAATAGAAGAACAACATTATGAATAGCTGAAAGCTTACAAGGTTACTACTGTGGTTTTATTAGTATTTTGTCATTACTGAACAGAACCCTCAGTATCACCTACAACAGACTGGAAGATCCTAGCGCCAACATTTGTCCTACTATACCTCATGCTTGTCCTGTGATCAGGTGAGCTATCCTCTAATGACACAAGCCTATTGTACTCTAAAACAAGCACATAGCACTTCAACTGGACAATGATATACATGATTTATTTACAAATATTTAGACGTAAGTATTTGCACACAACATATCACAAGTTTCATAACCTTGCACGGCTGATCAGTTGAAAATAAAACTGTTAAAATGAACACATAATACTTGTTTCAGCGTGGACCCTAGGTTTGGTATACACTGTCCCTCCATCACATGTGAGTGTACTGGAGTTCTTTAAGGTAGAAAACATGAACTCGGGCTGATGATTGCTCAGATTACTATACATGGCCAAAATGAATTATTTCTTTTCAGGATACGACAGAGTTATGTAATCAAGACACTACTACACAATATTGGGCAGAGGTAGAGTCAGCACAACTTCATACACATTACTTTTTCACTTTTTTTATTTGATAAGTTGATAAAAATTAAACATTTCACTACTATACATCACAGGTGATGGAGGTGTATGGCAGTGTAAACAAACCGGTAAATTTTCACAATGTGTTTCAACTGGCATTTGGTAATCACATGAAATGAAACTCTGCTATCAATCCCCATCTGTAACCACCTCTCCATCCACCTTCACAGATGAAGAAAACACAGAATTCAAGAAACAACTTAGCATGGGGTTGTCTTTCTAAGGAGCTATTTTTTCTCCTCCAACTGTGATGTTTCTCCAAGAACCAATCCTTACACCTCCAAAACCCTTACCTAGTACTCTGACATTACTCAAAGAACCAATTCTTTCTCTTCCAAAAACCCCAACCTCATACTCTGAGATTTCTCTGAGTACAATCCTTTCTCCTGCAAAATCCTAACCTTATCATCAGATGTTTCTTAGCGAACAATCCTTTCTCCTGCAAAACCCTAACCTTATACTCTGACGTTTCTTAGAGAACAATCCTTTCTCCTGCAAAACCCTAACCTTATACTCTGACATTTCTCCAAGAACCAATTCTTTCCTCCAGACGTTTATCCCCATCACTGTGAATTTAGTAACCATGATAACATACAGTTCTGATTAAATATAATAGGAGTACAGGTTTTAAGTTTTCTTTTCTCTTTTCCCTCCATGTCACCACCTATACCGCCTGTCTCTGAGCATACAGCAACATGCACAACCATCTACTCCATCATCTACTGTACAACAGGTGCCATCATCTTAGTGCTGACAATATCACTTACTGCTGGATACATTTGCTTACTTAACCACTACACATTAACTAAACATTGACACAGTATCTGCCCCATTCTGATTCTAAACATTTAGTAAATACAATGCAAATGCATTGAAACTGTAAATACAATGCAATGTAAATGTAAATGCAATGCAAATACAATGTAAATGTACATACAATACAATGCAATGCAATACAAATGTAAATAAATTTCCAATGTAATGCAAATATATTTACAATGTACATACATTGTAAAGACAATTCAAACGCAAATATCATGCAATGACACCAGCCCAACACCATGGTTCATGACACCAGAGCACACATTTCGTACATAGATGGCTATGCAGCTGGTATATCTAAAATGGCTGCATCAAGTGAAATAAAGAGGTAAGGAAGGCGAAGATGCTCGTGTTCACGTCCACTGATTCAATCACATCTATTGCACAAATTGACATTTCAAGAACAGGGACATACTACAATCACATTAAACACCCTACAATTATCATATACAATTTGTGTAGAAGAAACAAACAAACAAACAAACAATGTCCTGTTGAAATCCTGCATCAAAAGAGGCAATTATTAATGGTACCAAACCATTTGTGAATCAGGCAGTGTCAGATTTTAGGTGTACCACAAGTTAACCAGCTCATGCAAATTTTCCTCAGAGAGAACTATCAATGGACATATAGCACAACTGAAATAAAACGACCCTAAAATATGTCTGTACTTTACTGACAACTGACTTCAACAGACTGGTGGTGTTGCATTCCCAACCCCTTGCATCTCAGTGGGCACACAACCACATGGACAGGTCCATTTGTTGAAGAATGGAGCACAAGATAACAGCCTTGTGGTTGTTGACATGCTGTGCATTATTACCCTGTCCTAGTCAGAAAGTTCTTCGGAAGTCTTGACAGGAATATGCAGCAAGGGTTTAACTGCACGTGCATGACACTGCTGTAGAGTTAGATAATGACAACAAGAGCTTGACAGGGCTGTACAGCAATACGTTTGATAGAAAGAGCTTGACAGGGCTGTACAGCAAGGGTTTGACAGCAAGAACTTGACAAGGCTGTACAGCAAGAGTTTGATAGCAAGAGCTTGACAGGGCTGTACAGCAGGAGTTTGATAGCAAGAGCTTGAGGGCTGTACAGCAAGGGTTTGATAGCAAGAACTTGACAGGGCTGTACAGCAAGGGTTTGACAGCAAGAACTTGACAGGGCTGTGCAGCAAGGGTTTGACAGCAAGAGCTTGACAGGGCTGTACAGCAAGAGTATGATAGCAAAAGATTGACAGCAAGAGCTTGACAGGGCTGTACAGCAAGAGTTTGATCATGTCATATAAGTCAGACAGTAACTCACAAATTCATGTCAATAAATGAGACCAGCTCACTAATAAATTTTCAGATGAATGGATACATAAAATAGAAAACCATGAGGCTGCAGTATATCAGTAATCATAGACAAAATTAATACGGAAAACTGTTACAATGTTTGTTGGGTTCTAATACTTTTTTCAAGGGCAACCTTACAGCAGACAGGAATTGATAAACCATACACTACCATTTCACCAGTGACTGATCTGTGTTCAACATGTTCCATACTGGTTCAATTCTATAATGACATAGCAGTTTAAAGTGGGAGGTAAGATTATGTATACTGCATGTCTCAGATGTTAAGACTATGGAGAGATTCATGGGTATGGTGCTGACAGAACAAATGATATCATGATCGGGAGAATGTTGGAACTGGTTCCTGGCAGAGCTAAGGGACATAACTGCGGATTTCAGCATCTAGAAGAGTTGTAAACTACCTGTGATATGTGCGACAGTATTATGAAGACAGGTTGAAAGTAAACATATATATAGCTATATATATCATATATACATGAATCTATTTATGTATAGAGGTAAGGACGATTTCACTATTTTCAATAACAATTTGATACAATCTAAATATGTCTATATGAACTGATTAATGGTATAAACTCATACTTCAACATGATGTTTAAACACAATTAATTAAAAGTGTAAATTTGTTACAATCAAAGTTTACATTCTTAAGACAAATAAATTTTGTCATTTAAAAATATTACATTTTATCAACAAATTTTCTTCCTGCTTAACAAGTCCCACTAACAAAATGTTCTATAGAAAAGCTGATTAGAGGTAGCGCTCAAAGCCAGGCTGTGATACCATATCTCATATCAGTCTGATATTATGGCCTTGAAAATCCATTAAAAAAGAGTAAATATAAACAATAATGCTGAACAAAAGATACCTGAAACACCATGAATAATTTCTAACGTACTATCAAAACTTCTTCCAGAAAGTTACTACGTTGCATAATGACTGACCAATTTCAAACATCAGCATAACAACTCTAGTTCATATATTTCAGTATTCAGAGGGTACAGGATTCATGGTATCGAATAATATAGATATACATATATATTATCATGGTCTTTGATATGTACAACAGATTTGTCTTCACAGTTTCATCATGTGAGATCAAGCACAGGTAGCTTATGTGCAAACATGCAGCAGGAAACTGAGATTAGTAGCCAAGTGCGAGTCGACATCGTAAATATCACGTAGGGATAAAAAATATATTTTGAGCATTACATATTTCTTATTCCTTGTGTATGACGCACACTTCGTTAAAAATCTTACCAAATAATGTCATTCTAAAAAAATCAATGCCTACGACATTTCATCACTCAATGAAATTACCTAAGAAGCCGTGTATGATTGTGATGTGAAAGCAAATTACCCTTTGATAATATAGTGCCAAATGCTCAATCATGTTTGTCTACAGAAGCACCTTGACAACGGAAAACCCTACCGAAAACCTACTGGGAGTGTGAACCTATACTTTATAGATCGAGCAAACATTGCAAAGCAATGCAGTCCAGTTTAAAAGTAGTTTCAGTGGTATGGTAACCTCATTTGCATGATTATAGGATAACAACATGATTTTCATGTTGGTTTATTGCATCTATCGCACTGTCCATTAAATACTAATCAATACAAGTTAAGACCACTACATGATTTCTTATTAAAATTGTTAATCTGTCACGCCATAACAGATTCACAACAGTAACATGAAAGTAGTGTGATCCTTAACTTATGTTGAGTAGTATATGATAAAATAACAATTTCAAACAACCCATTTGTTTATGGACATGATTGTCAAAACGAAAGGACCTTTGTCTCAAACTGAAATAGATTTGTAGCCATTGGAAACATGATTCTTTTCACTCATCGTTTTGGTCCTTCCAAACATTAAGCCAAGGGCAGGTAACTCTAACCACACCACTGCAAATTACTCACCTTCACAAAGCTTTCTTCTCATATGACTATGCCACATAAGATTATGCCACTCTTGAAAAGTGGAATGGCCTTTTGACAATATTTTCTAACAATGCTTATCAAAGGTTGTGGTTTGAGAAATTGACACACTTAAACTATTCTCCATATATTTTTGCACTCTCCCCAGGAAGCTGATAATGAACTTAAGTATACATATGTCCATTTATTGGAGGAGTAATCATATTTGTTCTTTGAGCATGCTACATTGAATTGACAATAGCTCAGAACAAATATCCACTACTAGTATCATCTCCCATGGATCACTTTAGATCAAATCCATAATCTTTTTAAGAATTGGTGCTGACCAGTTTTCTAGTTTTATATTAAGCAAGTAGGTCAAAGCCAAACAATACTGCCTGTATATAGATATGTTGGATTAATGTTTGTGTTCATCATGAAAACATGCTTGTCACCTGACCTCATCAAAAAAAGTTCGATCTGAATGTTAAGTAAACTAGTGAGATCTTAATAAGGATGACTTAAGATTATTTTTACCGATTAATCTTTAAAATAAGAGTGTATAAACTTTCAATAGAAATTTTGGAATATGTCGTCCTCGTTCTGAATAATGCTTAATTACACTGATTTCATTTTTTATCGTGTCAACTGAAACAAATCAAATTTATGGTGCACAAAAAATTCTAGAATATTCTTCTATGTGTAAAAGATCAAGCCGAGAAGAGGTTGCTATGGTAAACTGTCCGCTTCAAGAGCTGTTCCACTGAAGGAAATCGACCTCCTTTGTGCATGCTGTGTCTGAGTTGTCTCCCCTGCTTCACATTCAGGCGGGATGGAGTTAAGTATCACACGTAACAAAGTGCTTAAAAACCAAACTGTAATAAATGTCAACCACCAAACTATTTGGGACAAAGTGTATAATAAATAGACTGAAATATCGAGTATAAAACACCTTTGCAGGGTTATCTATATTACTCAAAAAAGTAAAGGACCACACGATTCTTTCATATTCTTACAGATAATCAGTCATGCCAAAAGAACCTCCCCCCACCCCCTTTTTCTTATCAATTAAGGAAATCTATCAATCCCAAGTCAACAAGGACCACACAATTATTGCACAGTACTCAAGTTATCCTGTCTTGCCAATCCCAAACATAAAAAGACCACCCAATTCCTTCTTTATACTATTATTAAACTGTCTTGTCAATGCCAAACCCAGCAACAACCATCCAATTCTTTTACAGTACTTGTCATAACACATTAACTTTGGTGATATGAAAGAATGAAATAGTCCCTAACTTCTGATGAGTAGTGTATTTAAAGAGATCAGACTTATGAGCACCTCTTGTCAGCTACAACTGTCTACAAAATGCAATAATTCAATTTCTAAGAATTAACATCAACACAAAATTAATTGGTTTAAATAGTTAATAAACCTCTTGCTCCAAACAGTATTTCTATGAACTGTATACAGCCTATCACAAAACACTCACATGCTGAATTGTATAATGGATTTCACTGTTTCCTCCGACATGAGTAAGATGTCATAAAGGTATTCTAAAATTCAAATTGATTTCTATAATAGTCTGGTCATAATTTGTACAGCAAAGATATCTGCAGAAACAGTGAAAAGGGAAAAGATTAATCATAAAACCCATCAAGGAAAAGAGAAAAAATATTTTCCTCTTGACCAGGTTTTACTAATTTGAAAAAAGTATATTCATTTCGCTAAGACTTCAAAATTATTAGACAGTAAATGCATTCAGAGCACTAGCAAAAAGACTAGCATTTAGAGAAAGTGAATACGGAAAACCAAGAAACTGTCGACCCAACAAATTACTGAATGCCGAAAAAATCTTTCATTGGAACCAGCATAATGGTCTTCTGTAAGTCAGCATGCTTAATACGAATCAGCTTCCGTCTGTTGTCAACCGGACACTAGCTATCCCTGCTGGTGTATATCAAGATATGGAAGTGAAAATATCGAGCCTTCGTTATTCTTTATAAGATGCTGGACGGTCAACTTGCATCCTCAGAGCCGTACTGAGCCTTGGTATCTGCATTAAGATTTGTGGTTTCCGAAGGGGGAGGGGGGCATGGGATGGCATCAGTTGACTTGAAGGAGGCTGTGGATCCTGGTTGTGTCGTCACTGGCGACCCTTCTGGGGATTCGCTTGGTTCATCCTGAAACAATCAGAAGGTCCATATATGGGCATGTTCAACATAACATAGTTCCTCCTAAAATAATCAGTATGTCCATAAAAGGGCATGTTCAATACAACGGTTCATCCTGAAACAATCAGTACGTCTATATATGGACATGTTCATTACAACAGTTACAATCAGTATGTCCACATATGGACATGTTCATTACAACAGTTCACCTTGAAACAATCAGTATGTCCATATATGGACATGTTCATTACAACAGTTCATCCTGAAACAATCAGTATGTCCATATATGGACATGTTCATTACAACAGTTCATCCTGAAACAATCAGTATGTCCATATATGGACATGTTCATTACAACAGTTCATCCTGAAACAATCAGTATGTCCATATATGGACATGTTCATTACAACAGTTCATCCTGAAACAATCAGTATGTCCATATATGGACATGTTCATTACAAACAGTTCACCTTGAAATAATTAGCATGTCCATATATGGACATGTTCATTACAACAGTTCATCCTGAAACAATCAGTATGTCCATATATGTGCATGCACATTACAACACAGTTCACCCTGTGTCAATCAGTTGGTCCATATATGGGCATGTTCATTATCATTATCATTCACTGTCTATCTGGTGTGTCACAAGCTACTCACGTGTAGATTGGCATATTCTCCTTCATCTTCTGGTGCCTGTGGCCGACACTTGCCACAGCAGAAGTTGCAACATAGGCAGCAGCAGCAACAGCAGTAGCAGCCCGTGATAACACAGCAGAAGATGGCGAAGGCCTGGAAACAAACAATCCTCATAATTAATCAGACTGAAGGTGGAAATCAAAGAATCAACATCAGAAATCAAAATCTGGGCAACTGTAAGTGTCACATGTTCAATTCCATGGCAGCTGGGATGTCAAAAATATTGGTACAGACACTGCAGAGTAGGGCCATTAAATTCTTATTTCTTACACAGCAAATCTACCAAAGTCATTTTCTTCAAAACTGAAAACAACTTTTCCTCCTTCCCAAGTCTAAATGTATGTTTACCTCAGTGAATGTTCCTGAATGTCTACCCACCCATGAGAATGTCTACCCACCCATGAGAATGTCTACCCTCATATGTGCGAATGTCTACCCACCGATGAGAATGTCTATCCACATGAGAATGTCTACCCACATGAGAGAATCTACCCACCCATGAGAATGTCTACACACCCATGAGAATGTCTACCCACCCATGAGACCCATGAGAATGTCTATCCACCCATGAGAATGTCTACCCACATGAGAATGTCTACCCACCCATGAGAATGTCTACCCACCCATGAGAATGTCTACCCACCCATGAGACCCATGAGAATGTCTACCCACCCATGAGAATGTCTACCCACATGAGAATGTCTACCCACCCATGAGAATGTCTACCCACATGAGAATGTCTACCCTCCCATGAGAATGTCTACCCAGCCAAAAAAAATCTCTTCTCACCTTGCACCATGGACTTGTTAGAACCAGGTAAGTGTTGACATTCTCCTCGCCAAACTGTTCAGCTGCATAGATCCCTAGGGATCCGTACTGGTCGTAGATACCCCTTCTTGTGGAGTCCATGAGGATCTTGTGGGCACGGTTGACCTCCTTGAACTACAACAGACAATCAACTGCAATATTTTGGCTTGTTTGTTAATGCCACACTACTTCAGCTATGTGATGGCGGCCAGTAAATAACTGATTTTGCACAAGACGTGGCAGTGATTGACATCATGAGCATCTCTGGCAAGTCTGACGGCCTGACTGCTCAGAAAAAGACCACGTTGTTGAAGCACACAGCATGGGTACGATGCTGACAAACTCACATACATCAGTCAGAAGCAGGATTCAAACCCCTTGTCATAGGTTTCTGGTGAGCTAAAGGGACACAACTCATCACTGCCAAATGCAGGACTGAATCACCATTGCTCGCAGATACAGTAAGATTATGTCGAAACAATATATGATTATCAGCTACAACACCATGACTGCTTGATCAGCCTTTGGACAAATGAAAACAGGGTATTTCAGAGGAATACAGGGTATTTGAGAGGAAGACAGGAAGACAAGGTATTTTGGAGGAAGACAGACAAAGGCAGAGTATTTTGGAGGAAGACAGAGGAAGACAGGGTATTTTGGAGGAAGACAGAGGAAGACAGGGTATTTCAGAGGAAGACAGGAAGGCAGGGTATTTCAGAGGAAGACAGAGGAAGACAGGGTATTTCAGAGGAGGAAGACAGAGGAAGAGGAAGACAGGGGTTTTCAGGGGGAAGACAGAGGAAGACAGGGTATTTCAGAGGAAGACAGGAAGGCAGAGTATTTCAGAGGAAAACAGAGGAAGACAGGGTATTTCAGAGGAAGACAGAGGAAGGCAGGGTATTTCAGAGGAAGACAGGGTATTTCAGAGGAAGACAGAGGAAGGCTGGGTATTTCAGAGGAAGACAGGGTATTTCAGAGGAAGACAGAGGAAGACAGGGTATTTCAGAGGAAGACAGAGGAAGACAGGGTATTTCAGAGGAAGACAGAGGAAGACAGGGTATTTAGGGGAAGACAGGTATACAGGAAGACAGGGTATTTCCAGGGAGGGAAGACAGGAGGCAGGGTATTTCAGGGGAGGAAGGCAGAGGAAGGCAGGGTATTTCAGAGGAGACAGAGGAAGGCAGAGGAAGACGGGTATTTCAGAGGAAGACAGAGGAAGGCAGGGTATTTCAGAGGAAGACAGGAGGCAGGGTATTTCAGAGGGAAGGCAGGAGAGGAAGGCTGGGGTATTTCCAGGAGGAGAAGACAGGGAATTTTTGGAGGAAGACAGGGTATTTCAGAGACGAAGACAGGTATTTCAGAGGAAGACAGACAGAGGAAGACAGAGAAAGACACAGGGTATTCTTGGGAAGGCTGGGTATTTCAGAGGAAGACAGGGTATTTCAGAGGAAGACAGGGTATTTCAGAGGAAGACAGAGGAAGACAGGGTATTTCAGAGGAAGGCTGGGTATTTCAGGAGGAAGACAGAGAAAGACAGGGTATTTCAGAGGAAGACAGATTTCCAGAGGAAGACAGGGTATTTCAGGAGGAAGACAGGAAGAGACAGGGAAAGACAGAGGAAGACAGGGTATTTCAGAGGAAGACAGAGAAAGACAGGGTATTTCAGAGGAAGACAGGAAGGAAGACGGGTATTTCAGAGGAAGACAGAGGAAGACAGGGTATTTCAGAGGAAGGCTGGGTATTTCAGAGAGGAAGACAGAGGAAGACAGGGTATTTCAGAGGAAGACAGAGGAAGACAGGGTATTTCAGAGGAAGACAGAGGAAGACAGGGTATTTCAGAGGGAAGACAGAGGAGGAAGACAGGGTATTTTCGGAGAAAGACAGAAGAAAGCAGGGTATTTCAGAGGAAAGGCAGGGTATTTCAGAGAAAGACAGAAGAAGACAGGATATTTCAGAGGAAGACAGAGGAAGACAGGGTATTTCGGGGGAAGACAGACAAAGACAGGGTATTTCGGGGGAAGACAGACAAAGACAGGGTATTTCGGAGGAAGACAGAGGAAGGCAGGGTATTTCAGAGGAAGACAGAGGAAGGCTGGGTATTTCAGAGAAAGACAGAGGAAGACAGGGTATTTCCGAGGAAGACAGAGGAAGACAGGGTATTTCGGAGTAAGACAGACAAAGACAGGGTATTTCGGAGGAAGACAGGAAGGCAATGTATTTCGGAGGAAGACAGAGGAAGGCAGGGTTTTTCAGAGGAAGACAGAGGAAGACAGGGTATTTCAGACGAAGATAGAGTTCAAATGAATTTTCAGAACATCCTATCGACACATGTAAACCACGATTACATCTTTATAAATTCATGAAAATATCCTCATTATTTGACTGTAATCTACCATGCTCATCGGTCTTAAAAATAGAATGTACAGGAAACTAAACCAATCATATGTTAGTATTATGATATACACAAAACTACACATTGGACCAAACATGTATATTTAAAGGAATTTAATGTACCGGTATTCAATAAGCTGGGGCCTGGTTTACAATCACAAACTTCTTCAAGGAAAATCTGACAACTGTGGTGAAGGGGTTCTGGCATGTTAAGAGTGATCAACCACAGAAAACGTCAGAACAGGGGACATTTTCTAAATCAGGAGGGAGAAATGTCAGCAGCATAGGTGAAGGAGATGAACAAAGAAATGGATACTGACTAAATCCTAACTGAAAAAATGTTTGCTTCTGGATTTTCCATTTAGCATGAAGCCTCTAAACTCAAAAGCAAAACATCGCTTGTGCCTTTGAAAGTTACAATTCAAGCCATGTTCTACTCCGCCATGTTGGTCTACTCCGCCATGTTGGTCTACTCCGCCATGTTGGTCTACTCCGTCTCCATCTTCCTCCGCCATGTTGGTCTACTCCGCCATGTTGGTCTACTCCGCCATGTTGGTCTACTCACCGTCTCCACTGCCTCTGGGTTGTTGGGGTTCTTGTCGGGGTGGTACTTAAGGGCAAGCTGAAAATACAAGATATTTCTAGGATTACACAACCATGGAAACCACAACCCTGACAACAATAACCATGACAACTATGACAACTATGACAATCATGGCAACCATAACTACCATAACCATGGCAACCATGATTACCATTAGAACCATGATAACCATAAGCATCACAATCACAACCATAACCATGACAACCTATATTACTTTAACTAAAACAACCATCATCATCATCATCATCATCACCATGACAACCTAAATTACTTTAACCAAAACAACCATCATCATCATCATCATCATCATCACCATGACAACCAGGATAATATGAAGGAAATAATGCTACAGACCTCGATGCTTCATAAGAGAGACATTTCCATAACTTAGATGAAGGTAGCTTTATGACCAGCCCATATAGCATGTCCAGCCAATTTAATTTAGCATTGCCAAAGTATGTTGATGTAGTAACTATCAAGCACTTTCAGGCTAATTCTTGGTCTCCACAAAAGCTAGCTTGCTTGCCTGCTGGTCTGTTAGACTACGACTAGTAAACCGCCATTTCTGGTATTGTTATGAATTGTTTACGAAACAAGGGAGTTAACTGATTAAAACCGTCCAAATTCCACAACAATTACATGGCGAAATTGACATCCTGCTCAGCAGATTTTGGTCCAGAATTTGCAAAAAATATACTTCCCATCCAAAGTTTAGACTCACTAGTGTAAATGTAGCTCCTTACTTCAGTCAACTGTTCTGAACTACATTTGGCAAAATATTCTTTACTGTTTAAAGGTACTGTTTACACATGAACTGATGTATTGTAAAACAAATTCGCTCAGCTGAAAAGATTATTGTCATGAGTTCAAGAAATGATGAAACTCGGTGAAAATTGGCGAATTCTTAACAAAACTTTAGACCAAAATGCAGTTGTTCACATGCATGATATTTGCAAATGCTTTTCAGCAAATTGATATATGATCCTCGTGCAATTCATCTGCATAAGGTTTGCAGTTGGTTCCCCCAAGTTCGTAGAGAAATTAATCTTCGATGTAACCATATATGTGCTATTAACCACTGATATGACTGCCGGTTGCCATGACATAGTTGTAATACTGCTGATGGTCACCATTCATTCACGTGTGTGTGTGTGTGTGTGTGTGTGTGTGTGTGTGTGTGTGTGTGTGTGTGTGTGTGTGTGTGTGTGTGTGTGTGTGTGTGTGTGTGTGTGTGTGTGTGTGTGTGTGTGTGTGTGTGTTGTGTGTGTGTGTGTTGTGTGTGTGTGTTGTGTGTGTGTTTGTTGTGTGTGTGTTTGTTGTGTGTGTGTGTGTGTGTGTTGTGTGTTTGTGTGTGTGCTCTGTTGCTCATGCTATTAACCACTGATTTGCCTGCACAGACCAGTAATTTACAGGTCGCCGTGACATAGCTGTAATACTGCTGACTATGGTGTAATACACACAGACAAACTGCTGACTGTTACCACTCATTCATTTACTTGTATGTGGGTCCTGTGTTAAAATCAATACTATAAGCAACGTAACAGCTTGTGTTATGTACAGCAGTGGGAGAGATGGCCAGGTTTAATTTAGAACCTTCATGCTAGAGTCACTGAGCACAATGAAAGAAATGATGGCCTCATAAAACAGCCATATTGTGAATTTCATGTCAGACCCTTTCTCACTGAGCTCCTTTGATAATGACACCTTGGTTGTTGTGTCCTGACTTCTTTCTCAACCTGTGTGGTGAGAAGCAGCAATATCCTATCTCAACATGTCTTTACTAGTGTTGGGAATTGGTGTAAATCTCATAATTGATGATTGGTTCATTACAACCGATCAATCATCGAAAATAATTATTTAGCGTCATTTATCAAATTTTCCTGGTTATGTTTGTTAATGCACAAAAAATAAAGACAAACATGTAGTTCTCTCATTTTTTCCCACAAATTGCACAAAATGCATTTGCAAATTTCACATCTTTAAAGGATGACTAGTGTGTTAGGAACATACATTTCCTGGAGTTGTTAAGATAAACTTAATCATGACTTGGAACGAGCTTGTAGTGCTTATGCAATGTCGAGACAAAATCAACCTTTTGAAAAATAATGTTATTGCAAACAAGTGGTCCAAAATTGTTTGTGTTCTCTCATTTTTTCCGCAAGAGAAAACATGATTTGCAAATTTCACTGCTTGACTAGTCGTTTTGTCATTGTTAAGTTAACTTAATCTTCTTGGAACGAGCTTGTAGTGCTTATGCAATGTCGAGACAAAATATTTCAATTAATCGGACCACCACTAGTCTTTACTACCCAATTTGTTTGTTTGTTTGTTTGATTGTTTGGTTGCTTGTTTGTTGTTTAAAGCTGCACTCAGCCATATTACACTGATAATGATCATGTCTGGACTAGAACACAGTGAGTGCATGACATGTTTTTATCGATAACAACTTCTTTTGTATCCTTTATACAATGTTTCAGAGCTAATTCTTGCTCCTTCCTCAGGTGAATAAAAAACAGAGAATATTGAAGAAGTTCGTCCAACTTCTAAAAGCCTTTCAAGAACTTCATTAGACAATCCAGTGATCAACAGCATGAGCATCAGTCTACAAAATTGTGATAAGATGACATGTGTCATCCAAGTCAGCAAGTCTGGAGCCCTGAGCAATATTCCAGCAATATCACTGCAGGTGACACCATAAATGGGCTTCACACATTGTACCAATGTGGGAAATCGAACCCGGGTCTTCAGCGTGACGAGTGAACGCTTTAACCACAAGGCCATGGATGGACGGATGGATGGATGGATGGATGGAAGGATGGATGGAGGGACGAATGGCTGGTTAGAAAAGTGAAGAATAATATACTAAGGGACAACAAAACACAAAATTACAAAAAATTTCTAAAATTAACATTTGTTATTTCTCTTGTGTCTATATTTATGTATATTTTTATCTGAGTTTGTCGTAACTGGCTATAAATGGCTACACTTGCCTTTCTGTAGGCTTTCTTGATGTCATCTTGAGTTGCACTCTTCTGAAGTCCAAGCAGCTCATACAGGGATTCGCCAGCTCGCCTGAAAACATGCAAATGTGTTAAAAATGTCCAAGCAATTTGTGGTTCTGAAAACTGAAATTGTTGACAAATGATGAAGAAAGCACGGATGAAGTCATTGGTATCAAACTCAAGGTATGATACAGAGTGAGTGAGTGAATTGGGTTTAATGCTGCCTTCAACAATATCCCAGTGATCATGGCATGTCAGACTGATGTCTGAGGAAAGAATGAGTGTGAGTGAGGAAAGAATGATATCACGTGACACCAGAAATGGAGGTACCCATGTAGGGAATTTTCACTTTAACTTGGCTACCCCCGTCGCCCCGAGGAAAGAATGAAGTGATGGAGGTCTTAGATTTTCACTACTTGAAACCCACGAGGATTTGAGGTACAATTATCATCATGATAAAAACAGACTGAACCAAACTCTGCAACAAAGGAAACAATCATGGTTGAAAAAATCATAAAACACAATATAGGTTGTGATTTTCAACTCTCTAGGACCTTCTCTGACAATACAGGTACTGACATAAGTACTGATTATCAACCCTCTAGGATCCTCTCCAACAATATAGGTGCTGATTATCAACCCTCTAGGATCCACTCCAACAATAGAGGTGCTGATTATCAATACTCTAGGATCCACTCCAACAATAGAGGAACTGATTATCAACACTCTTGGATCCACTCCAACAATAGAGGAACTGATTATCAATACTCTAGGATCCACTCCAACAATAGAGGAACTGATTATCAATACTCTAGGATCCACTCCAACAATAGAGGAACTGATTATCAACACTCTTGGATCCACTCAAACAATAGAGGAACTGATTATCAATACTCTAGGATCCGCTCCAACAATAGAGGAACTGATTATCAATACTCTAGGATCCGCTCCAACAATAGAGGAACTGATTATCAATACTCTAGGATCCACTCCAACAATAGAGGAACTGATTATCAACACTCTTGGATCCACTCAAACAATAGAGGAACTGATTATCAATACTCTTGGATCCACTCAAACAATAGAGGAACTGATTATCAACTCTCTTGGATCCACTCAAACAATAGAGGAACTGATTATCAATACTCTTGGATCCACTCCAACAATAGAGGAACTGATTATCATTATCACTCCAACAATAGAGGAACTGATTATCAACACTCTTGGATCCACTCCAACAATAGAGGAACTGATTATCAATACTCTTGGATCCACTCCAACAATAGAGGAACCGATTATCAATACTCTAGGATCCACTCCAACAATAGAGGAACTGATTATCAATACTCTAGGATCCGCTCCAACAATAGAGGAACTGATTATCAATACTCTAGGATCCACTCCAACAATAGAGGAACTGATTATCAATACTCTAGGATCCACTCCAACAATAGAGGAACTGATTATCAATACTCTAGGATCCACTCCAACAATAGAGGAATTGATTATCAATACTCTAGGATCCACTCCAACAATAGAGGAACCGATTATCAACCCTCTAGCATCCACTCCAACAATACAGGTACTGATTATCAAAACTCTGGGTTCATCACTATGGATCTATATCTCACAACATCTGTTACACATCAGTCAAGCATCAAGTGTTAAAATACATTATTTCTCTGATGAGGCTTGTGTTTATACACATGACACAGAAGCCATGATGATACACAGTGAATATCAGTCATGTTATCTTTATAATGAAAGCAGTTATCCAACAAATGTTGGTTTTGTGGAATAAAAACTGTGGCCAGTCAAGCCCGAAACTGAATAAATCAATACAAGGGGAATCTATTGATGTCAACTCCTGTCATGTGAGGGACAGCGTTTGGGAGTATATTCTTACTCTTTTGATTGTGGGCTGATCCATCGTAAGAGCAATGATCCATGCACTTGCCCATATCAGTAATAAATGCAGGAGGGGAGATGTGAGTTCAGGATTTACTCCTTTGTTCATTTTGATCATTTTGTAAATATTTACTTTTTTATATATTGTTAATGATGACACTTAGAGGTAATTAAGTAATATAATTTTGGTCTTTAAATATTTGAGGCTGGACCTTACAAGCATCAAACCACGTAGCAGGGATCCTATGAAATGCATCAACACAGCAAGCAGGCATGACCACCAAGTTCCACTATTCGCAAGTATGGGATGCTGAAGACCAACTCTAACTAGAATTCTCACAGGAGTGTAGTGAGTGAGTTTAGTTTTACACTGCACTCAGCAATATTCCAAGCTATATGGCGGCGGTCTGTAAATAATCGAGTCTGGCCCAGACAATCCAGTGATCAACAGCATGAGCATCGACCTACGAAATTGGAAACCGATGACATGTTTCAACCAAGTCAAAAAGCCTGACCACCCAATCCTGTTAGTTGCCTCTTACCACAAGCACAGGTTACTAAAGACAAATTCTAACCCGGATCTTCACGGGTAGACAGGAGTGTAGAAATTTAATACTCATATCCCAAACTAAAAGTTTGGTGCTGACCAGTTTTGATAATTATAAGATCAAATCGGAGATTTGAACTTGCAACAAGCTGATCCTATTAGCTAAGGGAGATAACTTTTCAAAGAAACTGGCAACCACTTACACAACAAGGCCATCTGTAACAGACACCATAAGCAAGATCAGAATAAGAGTTGTCTGCCCTTGTGATCATATCTTCTTTGGGGTTAGAAGGTTGTACATTTCCCAAATGTGCCATATACAGATAAACAGGGATGCCCTTTGAAATTTAACCTTGCCAGCAAGAATATTTTGTTTACAATCTTTGAACTCTGAATAATGTTACACAAACAGCTAGATAAAAGTAGCCACATGCCTCTACCCCCATCCCTCCCCCAAAACAAAATCGGCCATTTCCACTGAAAATAGACCTCAGAGGTGACTCTTGGCCATTATAAACTGGGAAAATATGTGACTGTCACATGATCTAAACATCCAAGCTTGAAAGTCAACAAACATGTCACATTAGAAGCCATTGAAAACTGGTAATCTGGTTGTGGAAGTGATCCTGAACAGCAATAAGTCGCTACACTGCATCTCATATGACAAAGACAGCTGAAATATGATCGTCTTGCTACAGTGTAGCCACCCTCATAGGGCTGCATAGATTCACCCAGACCTCAATTTGATTTCATTTTCGATATTGGACCCTCGATAAGATCATTTTCGATTAGATTCTTCATACAAGTAAAAACATCAGATTTCATTTAACTCTCACAGTTCAAGTGAGTCGGCTTTTTAGTATGAAATCCATCGTCAACTTGGTGATGTCTACTAACGACAATGCTCATTGGATAATTAGCCTGGCGTCAACCAATCATGTTTCATCTTATTTCAGCACTTGAGTGCTCGAGTTGGATTAAAAATTACGTTCTCGCTGTTTGGAAGAAATTGAAATGGATATTCAAATATCGAATTCGAATAGTGATAATAGTGAATCGAATCATTGCAGCCCTATACCCTCACTCTGTTTACATGTTCAAATGTCACATGTTTTGTCACCATGTTCAAAGTATGGTTTTAAAAGTTTCACATTGTATCTTTTCAACATATTTAGGATTAAAACTGAATAAGTTACTACACACATACATATAACTCTCAAAGAAGCTAATGTGCAAAACATGTGCATCTGAGGGAATTGTTTAGATGATGTATTACTGACTGACTGAGTTTGGTTTTACGCAAAATTCATGTGCATCTGAAATGGGAATTGTTTAGATGATGTATTAACAACATGGGGTACAATATAGAACCCTGCAGCATCCCATTAACACTTGTATCTGTTAGCTTAACATTTCAAGAACTAGATACAACAAATAGGTTCAATCTACCATGTTCTACATGATGCTAATCAAATATTGATGACCAATTCCATGACAGGTGATGTTTCCAATTACGAAATACTGGGTTAAGTATTCTGATAATGGTACATAGTCTACATGGGATATTGCTGACTACACACTTTTCAAAATCTGCCTATTGATTCTGTGTGTGACTAACGCTGTACCTAAAGGCAAGTGGGTGACAATGCAGTAAACAAGCACCTGTCACCCTGTCCTGGCTGTGGCTGCAAACATTTTATGATGTTTCATACATCACGGATGCCACATGGGTAATAGTGAATACAGCATGGATGCCACATGGGTAATAGTGAATACAGCATGGATTAGACATACATACTACAAGGATAATACTATTCATGGATACCATACACAAAATGCATGAATAGAACATTAACATATGGGTACCACACGTGTAATGCATGGATAAAATATATGTCACATAAGTACTGCTCATGTAAAACATGGATAAAGATTTTGTATATTTGTACTACACATATAACTCATAGATAAACCATATCACTTAAGTACCATCTTGTCAGGCATGGATAAAAGATTTCTCTTATTTGTACCACACATAAAACTCATAGATAAACCATATCACTTAAGTACCAATCTTGTCAGGCATGGATAAAAGATTTCTCTTATTTGTACCACACATGTAACTCATAGATAAATCATATCACTTAAGTACCATCTTGTCAGGCATGGATAAAAGATTTCTCTTATTTGTACCACACATGTAACTCATAGATAAACCATATCACTTAAGTACCAATCTTGTCAGGCATGGATAAAAGATTTCTCATATTTGTACCACACATATAATGCATGGATGAATTCTACAATTACTACATGAAATACTGTAATTTGATTGGACAATCAATAAAATTAGACACTATCAATATGAATTGAAAATGCGTCTGTTTTTATGACCGCTTCACTGCGCATGTATACAACACTGCCGCACTACTTCTGCTTGACCACCAACATGGCTGATATCAACAGATGTGTTGGAAATGTTACAATAAAACTTTTATTAAAAAAATACAATCAAATGATGTTTTCCTCAACAATTATTCGGGGTCCTCACTATCATATTACCTTCTATTATAGGAACATTCAAACTCCATTACAAGGTGAGGGTAAGGTGAGGT